TAACACCAGAATCTTGATCCTTATCCAGTATTCAACCTGGAGCTAGTGAAACTGGTGCAGCACTGGTTGGAAATGTGCTCTTAGTAGGGTCCCATTAAAGACTCAGGCCCCTGCATTCTGGACCAGTTGTAATTTCCAGGTCAGTCTGAAGGTTAGCCCTGCATAGAGCGAGTTACAGTAATCTAGCTTGGAGGTGACTGTTGCATCGATTACTGTGGCTAGGTTGGGTCAAGACAGGTAGGGGGCCAGTTGCCTGACAACTGGAGAAATGCCATTCTGGCAACATTTGTAACCTGGGCCTCCATCATTAAGGAGGCATCCGGGAGCATATCCAGGCTCCTGGTGATAGGTACAAGTGTCGGGTACACCTAGAGCTGGGAGTTGGCACCCCAACTCAGAACCCCCCCCCCCAATGCAGTCACAGAACCTCTGTCTTAGAATGATTCAGTTTTGGCCAAGCATCCCAACATGGCCTCCAGCCCTTCAGCCAGGATGGATGGGGCATCCATGCATCAGCAGATACAGCTGGGTGTTATCAGTGTACTGGTGGCAACTCAGCCCAAAACCCCATGCCAGCTGGGCAAAAGGGCACATAAACAACAATGGGGAGAGGATTGCCCCTTGAGAGACCCCATACACCAGGGGGTATTGAGGTGATACCCTCTCTCCTAGTGCCACCCTCTGTCCCCGACCCTGGAGGAATGAGGGAAGCCACTTCAAGGCCATGCCATGAACTCATACGTCAACAAGGCAGTGGATCAATGGATTGAGATCAACCATGTCAAATGTTGCTATCAGGTCTAATAGTAACAGCGGTGCTGACCTGCCTCAATCCAGTTGCCTGTATAGATTGTCCGTGAGGGCAACCAGTGCCGTCTCTGTCCCATGACCAGGGTGGACTGGAATGGGTCCAGGGCCTCCGTATTTTCCAGGAAACTCTGAAGCTGCTCTGCCACCGCTCTCTGAGTTTCCTTGCCCAGAAACAAGAGGTTCAATACTGGGTGGTAATTGGCAGGATCCAAAGATGGTTTCTTTAAGAGCGGTGTTACCATGGCCTGTTTTAATGGCCTTTTGGAAAAACTAAATATGCCAGTAAGAGCCTCTTCCTTCCATTAATGTATGCTTCCTCCCTCCCCATGCCATTAATTTTCCAGAAGAATGCGTTTGAAGGCCAGTGGTCTGGGGCCATTCTTACCTGAACATTGCTGCTTCTGCAGCCAGTTGAATGAGGTGGGAAAGTTTCTAAGGGTTGGCCTGCTGCCCACATGCTTCCAACAAATAGCCACTGCAGAAGCATCAGATATCTCTATAAGAATGCACACGTGCCACTGAGTTGCTGTTGCTTGTATTATTTCAGTGGCATTTTCAGCATCAATTGTACGAAGGTGGAAGAAACCTGAAAACAATTATGTTAAAATAGTTCTGTCCAAATGTTAAAAACAGTGAATTCCATCAGCCACATTTTCTAACCTAATCCAGTAAATGCTTTAAAATGGATCTTTATCTGAAGAAGAGGAGGAGGAGATTGGATTTATACCCCGCTCCTCATTACCCAAAGGAATCTCAGAGCGGCTTACACACTCCTTTTCCTTCCCCTCCCCACAACAGACACCCTGTGAGATAGGTGGGGCTGAGAGAGCTCTGACAGAAACTGCTGTTTTTCAAGAACAGCTGTGCCAGAACTATGGCTTGCCCAAGGTCATCCAGCAGGTGCAAGTGGAGGAGTGGGGAATCAAACCTGGTTCTCTCAGATTAGCGTCCGCGCACTTTAAAAAAAATTATAATTTTTTAATTCATATTAACAATGCAAATTTATAACAGTTTTTACAAATATAAATACAAAAAGTACAAATATAAAACAAACATTACTGTAAACGAAGAACTTATTTTGATATAACATTAACTCTAGTCCACCACGTTAAATACAGATTTTCCTATTCATCAAAGATCCTTTTATCCATTGAATTAGTGCCATTTTTTTAACATTGAGGTCTCTAGCTTAAAGACGGCATATAGACAAGATAAAGAACCAAGACATTAGAAGTAACTTAAAAGAAAGATAAACCATATTTCAGTGTCCACACACTTAACCACTACACCAAACTGAAAAGATGTACAGTAAGGAGATGAAACTGAACTTAAGTAAGGAGTTCCAAATGAGCTACAATCACCTGAGTAAGGGCAGGATAGTAGAGCTTTATTTGAAGATCTCAAGGCACAGGGATGCATGTGTGGAAGAAGACGTACTCTCAGGTATACAGGACTGGGTCATTCAGGACCAGCCCTTGAACAGGAAGCAAACCAGTGCAGAGAATGAGATTGATCCACTTCTGTCTGCATTTGCCAGCAAACGAGCCACTGCATTCTTCTTGGCACCACCTACAACATCCAAACTGTTTTCACAGGGAGCTCAACATATAATGCATTAAATACTCTAAACGAGACATTGCTGATGAATGAATGATGGTAGCAAAGTCTTGGTCAGAGAAGAACGGTCACTAGTTGCTAAAAGTATTCCTAACTACTGCAATTGGCAGAAGTTAAGCATCAGTGCAGGTACCCTACTCCTTTAGGAGAGTGAGGTTCCATCAAGACTACAAGATGCCCCCACAGCTGTGTCTTGTTGCCATTAACCTTCAACATGTTATCCCATATCCAACTTGTAATAGCATCTGGGCACTTCTAAAGGAACTTATTGCAGTACCTACATTGGATAAGAAACCAAAATGGAATTGGGTGGCATGGTCATACTTGTGACTCAGCAGTAATTCCAAACTCCAAATTTGTGGCTGCATGTAGACATTTAGAAGCAGTGGGTGCTTTCAAATTCTAATTAGTATTATACAAGAGGAAGAAGTCCACTTTCTCCAGTCATAATTTTAAGACCACTGTATCATGTCCCTCCTTAGAAATGCATTTTTCTTGAACTAAAAACTCCCACCTTTATGTAATTGCATCTCTTTGATATTTTTGCTTGTCCTCTTTGATAATTTTGCTTGTCCTTTTCTGTACCTCTTTCAGCTCTACAATATTCTCTTTGGGATGAGATGGCAAGAACTGTACATGGAATTGCAAATGTGACTGCACTGTATATTTATATAAAGTAGATGGTCTAGGCTTTATTTTCAGTCCCTAGCTTAATAGTACATACTTTGCAGTACATACTTTGCAGTTTACCTTTTTTTTTGCAGCTGCATATAACTGGTGCTGCAAGAACGCTTTCCTGATGAATGTCACTTTAGCCACTATCAAGTAGGACCCACTCCCCCATGCATTTACTGCACTTTCTAAATAAAGGAAAGTGTAAACAGCACATCCATACTTTAGTGGACAGGTGCTCCCTGCAGTGCTCCGGGACCCTGGATGCTGATCTGGGTTTTGTGTGGTATTTACATCGGTGTCAACCTGTCAACTGGGGCATAGTGCTGCTGATCTAAAGGTCATACTTTTTCTCCTAAGAACTTGAAAAGTTCAAGGTTTTGGTTCTGACCTTCAAGGCCTTGTGCGATCTGGGACCGATGTATCTGTGGGACCGCCTCCTCTGTTATACCCCAGGAGAGCAGTACGCTCCTCACAGAACAACTTACTGGTGGTCCCTGGCCCCAGAGAGATCCGTCTGTCCTCGACCAGGGCCAGGGCTTTTTGGACCCTGGCCCCAACCTGGTGGAACTCTCTGCCAAGTAACATCAGGGCCCTGCAGGATCTTACGCAATTCCGCAGGGCCTGTAAGGCAGAGATGTTCTGCCAAGCCTTCGGTTGAGGACAGCAACGGTTAAACATCATGTCTGGCACCCTACTCCTTATAGAGCTTACTCCCTCCTGAACATGTGAAGCGTCCACAGACTAAACAGGGGAGGGGGCTACAAAATTTCTGCCTCTTGTTTTATGTATTGTACATTTGTTGGGCTTTGCTTTATCCTATGTGTTTATGCTTTTAAAATTATGTACCTCGCCTAGAGCCCCACAACTGTGGGATAGGCGATCAATAAATGAAATGGAATGAAATAAATAAAAGGGACACTGGACAGTGATTATTGCTGAGTGGGTGCACAGCTGTGATGTGCTTACCTGGGATAAATTCAGGGGGTAGCAGTTTTGGTCTGAAGCAACAGAATAAGTTTGAGTCCAGTGGAACCTTTAAGACCAAGGGAGTTTTCTTCTGGGTATAAGCTTTTGTGTGTGCAGGTATACAAAAGCTTACACCCAGTCCAGAAGAAAACTTAGTTTATTTTACAGGTGCCACTGGACTCATTGTTCATCTCACGTTAATTTATTTTAGTCAGCCTAATAACATTATTATTGCTGTAAATGTTTATTTTTCCTGTCTTGTATACCTTTGAGCTATAGGTAGAAATCTCACAGGTTGCATCTGATGCATTTCTTTGTCGTTCGACGTTATGATTTACATTTTTTGCATACACTGCATACCGTTGCAACCCGAGGTCAGGATTCATGCATCTGGTTGAATGGACTTTAGTCCAGGAAAATTCATGCCATCATAATCCTGCTAGTCTCGATGGTGCAACAGTGTTCCCTGTCCTCTCTCGAAAATGCTAGGCATAGTTCGCCGGAAAAACAACACGAACACGATTCCCCGAAGCTGTTTTTGAATGTAAGCGATAGACCTAGGGCCGAAATCTGTTCTACGTATAAATACACGTGTCCCTAAGAGTCTTGTTTACCATCAACCAAGCGCCTTCTGGGAATTGTTGTTCCTCACCTCTCTATTTAGCTCACAGGCCGAGGAGAGCAACAACAAATCCCATAACCCTCTAGGGCTCGGGAGGTCGGTCAAAATCTGTCTGGATTCCTTCGGCGTGATTGGCGTAACAACTTATCCAATGAAGTGCGCGAAGGACATCAAAACAAGTCAATTTTCCGTGAATAAAGCGTGATAGGCACTGATTCTGTCCTATGAGGCGAGAAAGCAGCGTGAAGGATGTCCGAGTCAGCCATTGAGGATGAGAAGCTTAATATGAAGCGGGCGGGGCCTCCTCGAAACAAGGCGAAAGGGCGGAGGGGAGAAAAGCTGAAGAGAGTCTTGTAATGGCGACGGGGTTGGTAAGTACCTTAGAAGTTTTCCACTGACGTGTGGGAGCGTGCAGGATGGTGCGGGGGAGAATTCAATAGTGAACGGGCTCTCTTTGTCGTCGTCCCCCCCTCCCATCCGAGGTTGTCCTAACGTTGAGGGGCTTCCCACTAAAAGTATTGGGGAAAAGGGAGGGGGCGCTCACGGATTCGGATCGCCGTTGGGACAGGTTTGCCGAGTTCTTTAATTGAGAAAAGCGGTCCGAACTGTAGTCCCCTGCGGGATACGGACGTTACTCTTGAGGAAAAATCTGATTTCTTTGGGGTTTTTCCCTATCTCCCTTTCCTCGACGCCCCATCCCGTGTCTAAAACGGGCCTCCTGAAGAAGCGAACCCCCCCCCCCCCTCTTCCCTCCAGTTGCCAAAGTTTCCCTTTCAGTTGCGGGGGACAGTTCCCCTCCCCCACCACCTTCCCTTGTTGTTGTTACGCACTTCTGAATGAATGAGCCTTTGGGCGCATGCGCCGTTTTGCCCCGCGAGGAGAAGGGGAAGAAAAGTTTATAAACAAGAGCCTCTGCCAAGCTTGGGGGATCATGTGATCGAAAGTGGGCGGGCCGCAGAATGAGTGAAGGGGGCGTGATTGGCAGCCCTTTCTTGTCCGCCCTTTTCCGCGCTCGGTTCTCTACGCCGTTCGGCTGCTTGTGCAGCCGCGCGTGAGCCCAACTGCTTTTTGCCAACGCGTGGCGGAGACTCGGCCGAAGTGCTGGGCGCGCGGCTTCCGTGGTGGGAGGGGGAGCGAAGTTGGTCTTGTTTGGAGGAAGACCCTGAGGCGGTGGGAAGCCGATGGTGATATGGAGGGGCGAGATGAGACCTGGTGGGTGCCCTTGCCTACCCGCCTTGCCTTCTGTAACAGTGGGAAGTGATAGTTGGGTAACCGCATAGTTATGATGCACTCTTCGCAGCTCAGGGTGCTGTGCAAAGTCTGTGTCTTGTACAAGGGAGGAGTAGGGCTGTGGCTCACTGGTTAGAGTGCCTGCTTAAGATGCTTAAGGATCAGGTAGTAGGTGATAACGAAAAACCTCCACCTGAGGTCCTGTAGAGCTGCTGCCGGTCAGAATAAATATTTGCACAAATAAATATTTTACCTACTCCCACCTTATTAATGGATAGTGTTTTTAAATGAGATACTGAATTAATAAGTTTTCTGCTGGAGATCTGCTTGAGACACTGCCAGAGTGGACAATACTGACCTTGCAAGACCCAAGAGAATGACTGGGTATAAGGCAAAGTTTGAGTCTAGTGGCACCTTTGAGACCAGCAAAGTTTTATTCAAGGTAGGAGCTTTTGTGTGCACGCACACTTCCTCAGATAATTTGAAATGGAAGTTAACAGGCCATACATATAGGCAGACAGCAAACAGCAGATTAGCATGCAACATAATGAAGATGTTTTAATATATCCTAAGACCAAACAGGAATAATAAGCTAAGTTTATATGGTCACCATTTGTTTGGATTTAATTATCTGGGGGGACGACGACATAGTGGAGCAAATAAATGTCAAAATAGGAGACTAATGTGGAAATGTATCCTTCTTAATTGGGGAAAGCTAAGTGTAAATAACAGATCCTGTTGATATGCTGTGTGCGGTGGGATAGTTGTGAACAAATAATACAAAGGCTAATTCATACAAGCGGGGAATGAAAACATGGGTTTAAAAGCACAAAGATAATATTGTCCACTTGTTAACATCACTTTGACATCACTTGCACCATGCTGTGAGCAATGTTCCCTCTAAGCTGTGGAGTCTTGGGAGCAAAAATTCTACTTTGTGAGCTACCGGCATTAAAGCTGTGAGCAAACAATTTGACTACTGCATAGATTAGTTTGCTCTGGAGCCCTCCTTCCTGAGCGAAGGCAAAAATGTGTGAGCCGGAGCCTAAAAAACTGTGAGCTAGCTCACACTGACTCAGCTTAGAGGGAACACTGGCTGTGAGTATTTAACATGTGCACTTGCAGCATTATTAAAGCATCTTTATCCCTCCTGTCTCCATGTTTTTAGCAAAATCACCATCCAGAGCTTCCAGACACAAACAGTAACACCCATTATAACAACTTCATATAAGCATGAAACTTTAGCTGTTCTCCACAATAGTGGAGCACCACCAGAATCTCAATCTACGCCTTACAGTTTAGGCACCTTCTTTCTTGACCAAAACGAATAGCTCCAACAGAAGAAAGCTCTGGGAGGACCTGACGTTATGGTTTCAGAGGGTGCCTAGCAATCTACATCTCTTATTTTTATATAATGTCCATAAATCATGCTATCCCGCAGATACCTAATGTCATGTGCAAGCTGTAAAACCATATAGATCTTAATATGACAAAAATATAAAATAAATAGTTTTACAGAAATCAGTGGCAGTAGTAGCAGCAGTAAGCAGTGTTCTTTGATAGTAATATTAGAGCCACAGTTCAACAGACCTTCACTCTGCTGCCAGGAAGACAGACTTGAAAAAACTAACTTTCTACTTGTTCATGGAGTACCATCAGAATCAGTCAGGCACATCTTCCTTGAAAGGGTGTCCCACAATGTCAGTGTGACAAGCAGTTTTATACAGTGCAGTTTTGCCCAGACCCATCTGAATAGATGGGTGAATCTGTTTTAAAAATAAGTAATTTGTTCTTCCTTTGGAGATTTTTGGGAAGAGAGGGACCAGAACCCATATGGTTCATGCAGATGTCTTAAGAGGCATAAAAACGGCATCATGCAAGAGTGAAAATTCTTGAACTTCTATTTGCATCTTTTAAATGAAACAGATACTTATATACAGGGCTCTAGTCGGGGGGGAGCTCTCAGGTACGGAGCTCCGGAAGAGAACCTCTAGGGGGCGGGGCGGTCACGTGGTGAAGCCCCGCCCCCTTCTTTACCCCGCCCTCTGCTTCGATCCTCATTCCGTTTGGGAATGAGGATGAAGCAGGAGGGTAAGTAGCCGGGCCTTCTGACACACTTCCGGTGATGTCAGGGGGTGTGGCCTTCTGTCACTTCCGGTGATGTCAGGGAGCGTGGCATATGCAAATAAGTTATGCTAATGAGTTATGCTAATGAGCTCCGGCAGCTCTTTTTCTACAACAAGACCCCTGCTTATATATATATATTAAAAAACAGGAGTTGGTACAGGGTTGTTGTTGTTTTTAATTCAGCAGGGTGACTTCCTTCCCTTCCTGTTGCAATTGACAGAAAATGTCTTTGAGTTGTAGGCTTAGTAATTCCTAAATCTGCCTCTCCTGACAGGTCTTCAAGTTAAAAAAAATAGGGGTCTATTTTATTGTGTTTTTAAAACCCTGGACATTTTTTTAAAATTTCAAAACTGCACTGGGTAGTGGTAGGGGGAGTACAAATATGATGTTAAAAGTCCCCTTCCAGTCAATGCTGGGCAGAACTGGTTTCTTCCAACCTGCCGAACTGGTTGAGCTTGGTCCCATTAAGCAATAGATACATCTAACAAGAACATGGTGACTGTGCTTGCCTCTTGGTACATCTATAACCAGACTCAAACTGCTTCCCCACCATATTGCCAGAGTGCTGACTATCTGTGAGGGGTGCCTGACAATTCCTCTTATATGGCCATTCACATTCTGCTGCTTGAGTGGTCAGGGAAGCAAGGGCATCACAGTTCAAGCGCTGCTTTGTTGTTTTCTTAATACTTGGTGTTTTTTGTTGTTCCTCTTCACTTGAGAGGAAAAGTCTGCAGCTTTATAATAAGTTTGCTTCCCCTCCATAAAGCTTGGTCATTGTATAAATAGTAGAGGAATGAACTGTTTGTCTAGTGGGTATGTTTAATATTTCTTATTCAGCAAATGTAATCTGTGAATAGTCTCTTACAAAAAGTCATTTGCTTTATTCTTCCTATTTGTAGTATTATTTGTTGCCTCAATCACAGAGTCAAATAACTCTTAAAATTTTAACTTTTATATGTAAAAAAAAGATTAATGTAGCTGTTATGATTACGCACAAAAGGTTTAAATTAAAAGAAACCAATACAGATTGAGGAAAATTGAGTTTTTGTGGATAAACATTGTTTATATGGTACTTATTGTTAATGGTTGCCATTATGTTAAGCATCTACTTTTTCATTTCTTCTTCTCCAACTATGCTAAAGGTTGCATACAAACAAAAACAGTGTAAACAGTCACATGTTAGGAATCACATTTTTAAAAAGGAAGCATAATGAACAAAAACAAGTACAGCTTTAACTGGCTCTGGAAACTGAGCATGCTTGGCAATCAGTCAGTCTCTGGCATAAGGAAGTGTTAGACACTACTGTACAGATACCTTTGTATGTATAAACACCACCTTATACTAGAAACCTACCAAGTGTCAAATATATCTACAGGATGCCAGGTACCATCCTAAACACATCAAACAATCCATTGTCTACAGCCAACTCTAAGCTACATGCACATCTGTTCTTGTCCCTCTGACAGAGATTTTCACCTGAGAGATCCAAAACAGACATTTTTGGAATTACAGTACTCACCTGGTGTCATAAGGAAACAGATCAACAAAGCCAGAATGATAACAAGGGATAACATACTACAAGACAGGCCCCAAGAACAGAGCACCCCTGGTGGTCACATGCAACCCACAGTTGAAACTGGTTCAGTACATCAATAATCAACAACCTATGCTGAATAAGGATATTCTTCTCTCTTAGGCACTGAGAGGCAGACTTTTTCTTGCTCACAGACAGCCTCAAACCTTAAATTTAAATAATAAAGCATCTCTTAACATGGACACGAACTGTGGAATCAGGGCCTGCCATAAATCAAGATGCCACCTTTGTCCCCTGGTATATTCTAACAACACAGTCACCAGCCTTAACAACAGCCATACCACTTCAGGTTCATTCACTTGCTCATCTGCCAACACTGTATATGCCACCAAGTGTCAACAATGCCCTTCTACTCTCTAACATTGTACGGTTAGGGCAGTCCCTTTACAAAAGAATAAACAAAAATCTAGCATTGAGAAGCACAATACTCTGAAGCCCGTGGGATAACATTTTAATCTTCCAAGAGTGGCAGTTTTACTACAGAGAAGCTTCAGATTACAATGTGATATTGTGAAACTAGAATTCATCTTCAGGTTCAGGACAATGAATCTCCTAGGTCTGAACAGTTCTACAGATGCTGTTTTTTGGCATTTTCTACCTCTGTACACATCTCCATGCTGTAATCAAGCTTATTCATTTTGTACTGTACCTCTGCATTTGGATTCCAACTGACCCTTCTTTATAATACCCCTCCTACCTTCTGATCCAGATATAAGGGCTGGTGGATTTTCATTCTCATTTGTATCTGATGAAGTGATCTTTAATTCACAGAAGCTTATATCCTGGAAAAATGGTTGGTCTTTAAAGTACTACTGGACTCAGTTTTTTCCTGCTACTACATACTAACACATCTACCCACCTGGAATGGCTTAGGATATATAACTAGTAGATACAAGTTGGGATGTAGCATTAAAGTGTGTTAGTATAAATTATGTGTAAGTGACATATTAGTAAATAACTCGATGCTTGCAATTTCTATCATATGGAAGTATTCTATAGTACGTTTCAGTATTGCTGTTTTGACAGGTGACTTCTGTATTGTAGAATATCAGAGTGCATGGTTTTATTCAGAGGGTGATGGGGATGATTTAGTTGGCTTCAACTTGTAAATTATACATTACAGTCTTATATGCACAAAATATTTAATAATATTTAATGGGAGTAGTAGCTAATCATGTTGGTTGCTTTAGTTCATTGTTAGATGAAAAGGTAGTAGATAATTGAATTATAGCAAAGGACAGTGTTTCCTAGACTGTAGGACACATCAGGCTTTAACGTAACCACCTATCTAGTTCACCTTGAGAGAGGTTGAATTCAGTTAGAATATGTACCACCATTTAAAGAACACAGGTTGTATAACAAAATATGTTAAGACAGGTATGATCACAGAGTAGTTTCTGCAGCTGTGAGTAATTATTTTTTGTTCTTTTTAAGTCAGATAATTTGAAGCACCCTACAATGGTTTGGGAACTGAAGGCTAATCAAATGCCTAATACAGTACAGAAACTCCTGTTGGTGGTGGATAAGAGAACTTCAGGAATGAATGAATCTTTGGAATTATTGAAGTGTAACGAGAACCTCCCATCTTCCCCTGGATATGCATCTTGTGATGAGCACATGGAGCTTGGTAAAACCTTTTTACTACCTCAGAGCCATCTGAGAGTCTGTCTGTGTCATGCAGGGGATTTCCAGTAGATGTCAGTAGGCACTACATATGGAATCATACCAATTCTCTTGTTTATATAGAGAACTCATGCAGTCCAGAGATTGTGGCTAATTCTTACTTAAGATTAGTTGGAGTCATTTTAGGGCTTTGTGCTAGCTGACTAAACTTTTTTGATGCTCTCTTTGTACAGCTGATCCCTGTACTATAGAAACTCTCTTCAGCTTGTCATTTGGCAGTATGAACTTCAGGCTCACAAGTCTAATTTCATAGTTATTTTTATCATAGCCCATCTTTCAAAAACACCATTACTGGAAGCCTGCCGCTAGCATTATAATTGCAGTGTATTTACATGTATGTAGTGGCAGTTTAGCCACAGTTGGTAGAAACCTTGCACAAAGTGATGCTTCCTGATTTCCACATTTTAGAAAACTGTACATGGTGTTGAAAAGCATGACACTGTCACGAGACTTCAAGCTCAAACCATAAAACGAGTTTGGGGGGGGGGGGCTGGTCAAAGTGAGTCAACCTAAAAAAGGCTGAAGCTGCCACCAGTCCCCTTCTACTATCCAGATATCCAGAGACCAAGGGACAAAATCTCAGGTCCTCCTAGAACTAAAATCTAGAAAGTCACCCTTGCAGGGCAGGACACCTTCAAGTCAAGTTTCACAAACAATTACTCTAGTAGCTGTAGCCAATGAGGGCTAAAGTACTGTGTTCAGATTGAAGTCTCCTGAATTCAAGAACTCCACAAGAATATAATCAATGTGGTTTATTTAAAATTGTGCAGAAATAATTAAAGCAGAACAGTGAAGATAAAAGAACAAGAGCTAAAAGTCTATCAAAGTACCTTTGCAAACAGTAGTTCAAGGTTTCAGATATTACCCAAAAGCAGACTGAGGTCTTCAAAGTTCCAAGTCCGTGACAAGTTTTCCAGTCAGTAGGACCCACCAAACTATTTATTTATTTATTTTATTTGTACCCTGCCCTCTCTTCCAAAACAAGGCAGCACCCAGGCTAATCCAAGCAGATGGTCTGTCACTACAAATGCCTGAGGCAGTGTCCTGGGTCTCAACAGAACTGGTCAACAACACAGTGGCATGTAGCACCACATGGAATGGTTTAGAGCCCGTCACATGGCCTGTGGCCCAATGGCTCGTAGCCATGGCTTTTCCACAGCCCTCCTGGCTGGTAGCAAAGAACTAGAAAGAAAACCTTTGGTGTTGGCCTGATTCTAATTAGTCAGTCAGGTGTAGGGCAAATGATGTAACCTAACCACCAGACCTGTTGGTTAAGGTGATGGTCTCACCAATCAAAGGGGCTTGTCGGTTAACCAGACACTCTGCTGCAAACAAACAAAAAACCTCTCTCCTGCCCATGATCTCAGGCGCTAACAAGATGGAATGCAGTCTTCCTTATCTCATGTCCTTGGAGCCACCAGGTCTAATGGAATGATGGGCAGCTGGGTTACCTCCTATCTCTCTTATCTAACCACTTGCTTGGTTTCAGAGGAAAATATCTTTCTTTTGCAGGGCGTGTTTACTAGGCTAAAAGCCTGAACCAAAGTGAAAACCTGAACAAGAAACTGTGTAGGAAAACCAGTTTCTTGACAGACACCTCTTGCCAGCTTTGAATTTTAGCTTGGAAGTATTATCAGTAATCCGCCTATCACTGCCCCCATTCAGAATCATATAAGCATTATACTGAATTATTTCAGAAGCTTTCACATTATGCTCCATCTCCAGTGAGGCATCTGGTCCTGTCAAGTGCATTGTTAGGATGAAGTGGTGCATAAATCTTGCTCTGTATTCTCCATTGATTTATTAGTAGAAAAGAGTCCAGTAGCACCTTAAAGACTAACAAAATTTGTGGTAGGATTTGAGCTTTTGTGAGTCGCTGCTCACTTCTTCAAATATAGCTAGAATGTGAGTCCCTCTGTCCTATATATTGGAAAGTGGAGTGATTTCAGATGTCAAGTGTCATTAGCAGGCAAATGACGACAGCAGGTGTAATTGGATTAGGTGTGATATGCAGAGAGGCAGTAAGTGTGGAGAAATCAGCATTGGTAGTGAGACAGGAAACCTAGGTCTCGATTCAATCCAGGTGGATGGGTTGTCTTGAGCTTCATTATCAGTTGTAATTCAGCAGTTTCTCTTTCTAATCTCCCTTTGAAATTCCTTGGTAAGAGAACTGCTACTTCTAGGTCAGCAAGTCAACTTCTTGAAAACAGTAATAGTTTTATTTTGTAAGCTACTCATTTTAATCCTTTTCCCCAGGGGGCCTGCAGATGATATTCAGGGCAAGGACAGCAGTCAGTTCTGGCTTGAGCCAGAGGAATGCATTTGACTTCTTGTGCAATTCTTTGCAGATGATCTTCCTGAACTGCAGGCTGTTCATACTGATTCTACCCCCCCTGCGCTTTTTCAACTGAGCACAGATGTTTCACATCAGGAATACTCGAGGTCTTCATGGAACCAACATACCTCAAGTAGCAGTTCGGAAAGTGCTTATCCTTATGAAAATGGAGTGAATTGGTTAACAGAACTGGCAAATATAGCTACTAGTCCACAGAGTCCTCTGATGCAGTGCGGTTTTTATAACAGGTACAATATGAACATATTAATCTGTGAACTGGAAGCATTGTTTAAAAACTGACAACTTTTTTCATCTTGATGATCCTTTTCCTGTGTGACCGCTGAAACATCTTGGCATGGATGGTTGCCTATAGCTGATGTGGCTTTTATCCCTGGTACAGTTTAAATGTGATTTTGCTATCACAAAGAGTTTATGGATGTTCATTCTGCAGTGCTAGAATGAGAGCTAGGAATAGAATGGTTGTCTCAAGATTGACATGAGATTTTAAATTTAGTGTATCTCTTGTTACTCATCTCTCCTAAAAGCTTGATTTCCTAATTCCACAATGAAAAAATTGGCATAAACATACAAACTCTCCACCCCACCTGCCTGAAACATTGCATGTAGAATAAAAGCCCACTCCTTTATAAAAATTTTAGCAGCATATTTTTCTGCCACCTAATTCTGCTTATTTTAAAATTCTTTCTTAGGTCATCACCTGTTCACCTAATAGCTACAAGCAAAAGTTTACATTCCTATGCACGCCCTCCACCAGTGTCCTCTCAGAGTGATTCTGGTTTTCCTAAGCATCACATAGATGAAGCACCAGTCAGACATGAAAGGGTAAGTTATGTTTATTGAACTAGGAGAAGAAAAACTTCTTGAAAACAGTAATAGTTTTATTTTTTAAGCTACTCATTTTAATTCTTTTCCTGTTCAGAAGTGAGCCAGTAGATGAACAGGGCAAGTAGATGGGGGGGGGGGGAAGGAAAACTCTGAATAAAAAACCAAAAGATCTAGAAGATTGTGCTGTCAGTCAAGTGTGATTCCTAAACCAATCAATGCATACTTCATAAAGGCTTGGAAAAGAGCTTGATCCCTTGCTGGCAGCTTTCCAGACCTTCTCCAAGTTTAGCACAACAAAGGCCCCGGTCTCACGGGCCGGATATCGTGGGGGGGAGGCGTGGCTGTTTGCCCTGGAGCGAACTACTGATCAAACGTCCCGCCCGACGTCCCACCGACATCCCGTGGTTGGGGGGAGGTGCCGATCATACCTCACTCCTGCAGTGCGGCAAAAAAGCGGTGCCGCAGGGGTTGTGTTGTTGTTTTTTTACCCAAGTGTTCGCATGCGCCGTTGGGTGCTTGTGCGCACCCGTGGAGACTTGACAAAAAAACTTTTCGTGACGGGACATGGGCGGGCGCCGGATGCCACGAGCTACCACCGGAAACGTGATCTGACGCCCGTCCTTGCCCCGCGGTTTCCGGAAACTAGTACCTCGGAGGTACTAGTTTTTTACAGCGCATCTTCAGAGTGAAGCCTCGGGTGAGCCACGGGAGCTCTACGCTTCCCAGATGTGGCGGTGAGATCGCGCCTGGAAAATCCGCCTATCTTCCGTCTCTCTAGCGTGCCTAATGCTCCGTGTGACCGGGGCCTTAATTTCATACATGCTACACATTAAGAAACACTGCCCGGTGTATTTCTGATTACTCTGGTTGTGTTCCAAATGCCATTCTTAACAGCTGCCTGTCCATGCTGTAAGAGATGGAATATGGTTCTGTAGGGTTGTGTTGCTGGGTGAAGTAGTGCATGAGTCTTTCACATGCTTAAATATAAAAAGGAGGTTGGTTTGGTCAGAAGCAATGTGACTATGACATATCAGATAAGAGATGTGCTATTACAGATACTTGGGAAAGATACTGGCATGGTTATGTAAACGAGAGGAAGTGCCTAAGGAATCTCCCCTTGCAAAGAACAATGTGGACAAGCATTTGTATCATCTTTCCTATGAATATTAATTCGAAACCCTTACTCTGGTTTTGTTTTCTCCATAGACAAGTAGTGAATCAGAGTCTGGGATCTTCTGTATGTCTTCACTTTCAGATGATGATGATCTAGGATGGTGCCATTCTTGGCCTCCAACTGTTTGGCACTGTTTCCTTAAAGGTAAAATACCTTTCATTTTGTGTTGTTGGTTTAATAATCAACTTTGTCTTTTATATGACTCTAAATAACCTTTTTTACACCATCAGGCACACGTTTATGCTTCCACAAACGACGCAGTAAGGAGTGGCAGGATGTTGAAGAGCTTGCTAGGTCTGCAGGATTTGAAAATGAAGCTGATGTTTCAGTGGGTGTTTACAAAGTAAGCCTTGTGCTTTTCACCTTTTGCAATAGATACTATAAAATTATGTCTTCAGTTGTTGCATTACTAAATTTGCAGATGGCACATGTTTAGATCTTTTTCTCAGTACTTGTTTCTGGAATCATTCAGAATGCTTTCAGGTGCACTCTTTTCTGCAATCCCTGTTGAGCTCAGTGATCCACAGACTAGCTGTATTATTACTATTAGTAGGGATGAATCTTAATTTCTATGTTAATTTTAATCTATGGATGTTCCTAATTCCTTGTGACCTGCCTAGGCTTGTTACCACACCTTCACAAACACATGAACATTGTATTCAGATCAACATGGGGAATTAGCTTGTATGTTTGTGTAGGGTGCAGAAAACCAGGATCTTTTACCAAAAGAGGTGGCTGTGAGTAGCGAGTTTTCAGTAGGAAAAGGATAACAGAGACCTGACTTAAAAGGAATTACAGAGTTTATACAGGGAGTTGGTACCATAGTGTGTGTGGGGAATAACCCTAAGGAAATACTAGAGGTACTAAATCAAAAACATAGACACATTCTTTATCCTAATTAATATGGCAACAACAACCAAACATTCAACAGAGCAAAAGGTGTGTATGTGGTTTGGCAAATAAGGGCAGGGGGGATAGATCAAGAGGGAGAGCAAGGATTACCTGTCCTATTCTGCAAAAAAATTGCATGAAAGAAGGAGGGATTCAGTGTGTGTGCTGGGAGTCTGTTGCAGTTCTGTTGTTATCCAGGATCAGACTCCAGTTACTGGCTGTAAAGGCAAACTAATAATATTGTTTTTGGCCCATACCATAAAATTGGTTCTTTCCAAGAAACAACAGATTATGACAGAAGATAAAGGAATACTTGAGAGCTGGGCAGCTTATCAGGAGAAAACTATAGAACTGACTAAATGGTACCAGAGAAGGGCAACAGGAAAGAAAGTTCTTGGTTGAATTATAAATCAGGATTACAAAATTTAATTAAAAATTAAAAACTAACAGATCAGCAGGCCCAGATGGTATACACCCAAGAGTTCTTTCAGAACTCAAAATGTGAGCTTGTGGATCTCCTGACAAAAGTATGCAATCTATCATTAAAGTCTGCCTCTGTTCCTGAGGATTGGAAGGTAGTTAATGTAACCCCCATCTTTAAAAAAAGTTCCAGAGGAGATCCAGGAAATTACAGGTCAGTCAGTCTAACGTTGATACTAAATAAGTTGGTGGAATCTGTTATTAAAGACAAAATAAGTAGGCACATTGATGAACGGCTTCAAGAGAGAATTAGATAAGCATATGGAGCAGAGGTCCATCGGTGGCTATTAGCCACAAAGTATAGATAGGGACTCTGGGGCAAGTGATGCTCTGTATTCTTGGTGCTTGGGGGGTCAACAGTGGGAGGGCTTCTAGTGTCCTGGCCCCACTGCTGGACCTCCTGATGGCACCTGGACTGGATGGGCTATTGGCCTGATGTTGGACTGGATGGGCTATTGGCCTGATCCAACATTGGCTTCTCTTATGTTCTTAACAAAAGCTATTGAGGAAGAATCAGCATACATTCTGTAATGGAACAGCTTCTCAGAGTTCTTTGAGGGGGCGAACAAACATGTGGACAGGGGTGACCCAATAGATGTTGTTTAGCTATACTTTCAGAAAACTTTTGTTTACCTAGACTTCCAGAAAGTTCCTCATCAAGGGCTCCTAAGTAAACTGAGAGGTCATGGGGTCAGAGAACAAGTCCTCTTGTGGATTAAAAACTGATTAATTAACAGGAAACAGAGTGTGAGTATAAAGGGGCAGTTTTCACAGTAGAAGGTGGTTATCAGTGGGGTACCAGTACTAGGTCAAGTGCTTTTTAACTTGGCGTTGGGAGTAAGAAGTGAAGTGGCTAAATTTGCAGATAACACTAAGTTGTTCAGGGTGGTGAGAACCAGGGAGGATTGTGAGGGATCTGTACAGAGGCTGGGCGAGTGAGTGTCAACATGGCAAATGAGGTTCAACATGGGCAATTGCAAGCATTGGGGCCAAAAATCCTAACTAAGTACACATCGATGGGGTCTGAACTAGTAGAGACCGACCAGAAGAGAGATCTTTTGAGTTGTGGTAGATAACTCACTGAAGATGTTCACTCAGTGTGTGATGGCAAGAAAAAAGCCAGGCGAATGCTATGCTGGGGATTACTAGGGAGGAGATTGGAAACAACTCAGCCAGTACCATAATGTCCCTGTATAAATAGATGGTGTCGTCTTATTTGGAATACTGTGTACAGGTCTGGTCACCTTACCTCAAAAAAGATATTATAGCATTGGAAAAAGTGCAGGAAAGGGCAACTAAAATGATTAAGGGGACAGAACAGTTTCCCTATGAAGAAAGGTTAAGGAGGGTAAGGTTTTTCACCTTGGAGAAATGACGACTGAGGGGTAACATGATAGAGGTTTATAAAATTATGCATGGGATAGAGAAGGCAGAGAAAGAAGTACATTTCTCCCTTTCGCACAATACAAGAACTCATGGGCACTCAGTGAAATTATTTAGCAGAAGGTTTAGAACAGATACAAGGAAGTTCTTCTTCATCCAAAGAATAATTAACATGTTGAATTCACTGCCGCAGGAAGTGGCAGCGACAGGCATAGATAGCTTCAAGAGGGGATTGGGGGGAAAATGGAGAGAGGTCAGTCAGTGGCTCTTAGCCACAAGGTATAGATGGAACACTGTGTCTGGGGCAGTGATGCTCTGTATTCTTAGTGCTTGAGGGGCAACAGTGGGAGGGCTTCTGGAGTTTTGGCCCCACTGGTGGACCTCCTGACAGCACAGAATATATTGGCCACTGTGTGACACAGAGTGTTGGACTGGATGGGCCATTGGCCTGATCCAGCATGACTTCTCTTATGTTCTTATGTTCTAAAACTGGAGACATGAAGCCGAGTCATATATTCGGTGGGAGCTTTTGGGAGAATGGGAAGATATGAATCAGAGGTTCCAGACTGTCAAAAGGCACTTAATACCCATATTGTGTTAATTGTCAGTGATTGCATATCACATAAAAGACAATACAAGAAGAGGCATCTTTGGCTTCTAGCCTGGTGTGGCTTAATTGCTGTGGTCCTGTTGGCACTCCCTGATTTCTCCATTTGCTGTAGTCATCCCAAGATCCTCTGCTTACTGTGTTCACCGCTGCAAAGTTTTCTGTGAGACACAAAACATGTTCTTTGTGTGCCTTATAGGACTTGCTCACAGTGTTACACATGCAGTCCATACAGTCAGGCTGGGGGAGGGAGGAGTGTGCAGATGAAAGGGGGGGGCTGGCATACAAGGCCAATTTTACAAAGCTGACTGTACATAATCTCTCCCAGAGATAGACTGAATATGTATTAATGAATGTGGGAAAGTATGTACAGACACCATAGTGATGTGCTGTATTTTCTCAAGTGAGAAAGAGCATGAACTTCAAAGATAGCTTTTTGGTACATGTAGGAGGGCCAGGAGGAGGAGGAGGAGGAGGTGTGCAGTTGAGGTTTGCTACTCAAGTGCTCATGGTGGTGGTAACAAGTGCTCATATAAGTAGAAAATAGTATGGTTGTACTTCTAATGGGAAAGTTCTGCTTCCAGAGTCACTGTTTCATGTGCAGTCATATATTGGTAGTTTGTATTTAAGTGAAAGTGGGCCAAAAGAGTGTCTGAAAGCATAGTGTCTAAGCCTGAAGTTTGGGGGAAGAGAAAGTGCCTGTTTCCTCAAATCTACCCCCCCCCAACTTGTATTAGGGTTATGCTTTCTGATAATCTTGGTCCACTTTCAGTTAGCTAGAAATCTTAAGATCTGTTATCATTTGTAGCATAAATTTGCATGTTTCTTCAGTAACTAACACACATTTTACAGGGATATGGTTCTGATGGTTTGAAGTTGATCTCCCATGAAGAAAGTGTTTCATTTGGTGAGTCAGTACTGAAATTGACTTTTGATCCTGGCACAGCGGCAGATGGCTTGCTTACTGTGGAGTGCCGATTAGATCACCCTTTCTATGTTAAAAATAAAGGTAAGAACATTTCTGTCTCTTATCATCTATCCTTTATAATGGTTAATGAGAAACTGGAATATCACTATACAGTCTGTTTCAGCTACCCAAAATCCTCTTACTTAACTTAATCCAAGGCATGCTAGCTACTTTCCCCTTCCAGTTCTTTCTTTTTAAAAAAATTCTTAAGTGTTATTAAGTAGTGACTCACCATAACAAGTAAGACATGCTTTCCAGCTCTTCCAATTATTATTTTTTTATCACCGAATTAGCCTGAAGCGTTTTTTCTGTTTGTACAGTCTGTCTCCAAATATATATCTCTTGTTCCATAATGATATCTAATATCTTTGTCCGGTATTTATAATTATCTCACAATTCCTCCATAACTGTGCAAAATCAGTTTTGCTGTGAGCACATTTCCTATGTTGATATTGTATTGAGACATAAACTTAGTACCATCTGTTGAAGACTGGGACTATCCCTAGAAATCAAAGCGAATATTCAACAGTCACTGTTATAATAACCCCAATCAACTAAAGAAATACTGATCCCCCCCCCCAATGATTTATACAATTTTAAGTTTTAAAAGCTTCACTCTCTTTAATATAGAATATATTGTATAGTTAGTTTCAGGAGGGCAGCCATCTTGGTCTGCAGTAGAAGAGCTGGAGTCAAGTCCAGCAGCACCTTGGAGACCAACGAGATTTTTGGGGGGGTATGAGTGAGAGCTCCCTGAAGGTGCTACTGGACTTGACTATATTATGTAGCTTTGATGTAGGTTACCCAGCTCAAGGATTTTCTCAAATCATTAAGTTTATTTCGTATCGGAAGTGCTGATGAGCAGAAAGTGGTATCTATAAATGGTGGACGAAAGGGTCCTTAGTACCCTTCATCATATCTGCTGCCTTATTTGTGGGTGGGTGAACAGTCTGATTGTGAGTGGGCCTGCTGGGCCGTGGGAGGGATGAGAGGAACAGGCTTATTACAGCGAATGTCAGGGCTTGCTAGATAACCTGTCCGATACTATTTTGTGAACTTGGGAGAATGTGTGTGCAAATCAGAATACTTATGATCTGTGACTTTTTTTTCAAACCAAAAAAGCAAAAAATGACAGCAGCAGTTAAAAGTCCCTGTAGTTCAAAAAAAAAAGAGTGATTTGTATAATATTTGTTTGGCTGGTGATGTGCGGAGGTATCTGTGGATATGTGCCATCCTAAATCCCTGTACTGGCAAGATGAATCTTGAGACTGGGTTGTAAATACTTTCCATGACTTTGATTATGTAAATCCCAAAGCTTGAAAGTTGTCTTAGATATATGGAAATTGAATCCATGAGGCAGTATAATTTATAGAATTAAATGTCTTTATGATAGATGCATTTGCTCCAACTAATGGGTATTCTGTTTAAGTGTTAGAGAAATCAGTAAATCATAAGTAGCTATTAACCTGGCCCATGGATTTCAGTTGGTTCTAAGCAAGACCAACTGTGGCTGGATTGGGCCATTGTTTTGGGGTAGCAAAGCACAGGCAAAATTCTTAATTTTTTAATTGAACATTGTTTCCTTCGGACTGCCTTGGGTTATACATTAAGATTAACCAATTGGGCTTTCCAAAGCATTTAAAATGAGAGGGAGAAAGAGACATATTTTTGCCTTATTTTAGAAAAAATGTTGATCTTGTAAAGCTTCCTCTTTCCTTTCTCCTTCTCTGTACATGTTGGGCCATTTAGATGATGAACTCTTTGTGCAATTCTAATTCCTGATGCCTAGCTGTAGATGCTATATATACTACATAATAGTTAAAAGTGCCTCATCCCCATGCCAGTCTCAAAAGCAGGAAAGCCAAGCCACCCACAGAGTAGATAGGGGTCTCTACCTAGTTGATAGTCCCCAGAAATTTAGAAAACAACCTGAACTAACCCCCCCTCCCCCAACCTTAGCCTGGTAAAGACAGGAGCATGTAATGTTGAGAGTCAAACAGAAATAGATGGGTTAATCCTTAAGAACTTAAGGAATCCTGGAGGTCAGGAATTTATTTAGATATTTATAACTTGCTTTCTCCACAATGGGGACCCAAAATGGCTTATGTTTTCCCCTCTCCCATTTTATCCTCACAGTAATGACTGTGAGATAGAATAGGCTCAGAAAGAATGAGTGGCTGAAGAGAGAGGGGGATTGAATTGAAAGGCAAAATGGTGCAAACCCCTCATCTACTGGTTCCTCATAGGCTCCCAACTCATGAATGATAATATGAATGACCAAGCTCTACTTCTGGCTAAAACCTATTTCAGGTTCACTTTTAGAAAACTGCATATGGACATAATTTGCTAGAAGTGAGGATGTGTGTAACAAAATATGAGAGTCTGCCTAGCCAGACTGTTGATTGTTCCCCCCACCCACCCCTTTTCTCATGCAGGTTGGTCATCTTTTTATCCAAGCCTGACGGTGGTTCAGCATGGCATTCCATGTTGTGAAATGCATAGTGGAGATGTATGTCTACCTCCTGGTCACCCTGATGCCATTAACTTTGATGATTCAGGTGTTTTTGATACATTCAAAAGGTAACTTCTTTGTTTTTATAAATTAATCTTTAAGGGGCCAGGCTACCACTCTGGAATTTACCAGAAGGAAGAAATAGTTAATTTATGAGAATGTAATAAGTTTATGAAGCAAGATTCAGGTCATAACGAATAGGAGTTTTCATGATAATCGGCATAGATCCGCTGGTGGTTTTCTGCCAGTGGGAGGATTTCCAGTCGTGATGCACAACTTTCTTACTTCTTCCATTCTGAGGCAGCTTGAAATCCCCCCATCTTGTTCCCTGTCTACATAGAGGCTTTCTAGTTCAACCTTCAGTTAGTTAAAAAAAAAGTATCCCAGAAGTTCAGGCTTTTCCCTGATCCTCTAAATTTTTGCTTTGTATATGTTTCTTAAGCAGCAGTGATGAAATGAAATAATCTCAGAACTAGTTTTAAAAATAATTCATGCTTTTATTTTTAAGAAGTTTTAAGGATATGTTTTAAAGATGATAACACTTTTAGGCCATGTGGTCCTTTTGTAGAAGTTTTATCTTCTCTCTGTTCATAGTTGACTAAGCATCAGAGAGCCATAGTGTCAATAGAAAAATTATAGAACTAGCAGATTTCTTCCACTAGGAGGTGCAATACTACCAATTCAGAGCTGAATTACTTATTGTTTGTAGCTCTTTTTCAAGTTGGTCTCAAAATTGGTAAATAGTCTTATCATAATTTTATAAGACAACAGTTTATTTGGCAAGGTACTTCAGAAAACTTAAATGAACTGTTCCTGATTATATAAATTACAAGTGGGGATCAGTGATACTTGCAAGGGGGGATTCCTCCCCCATCTCTGACAATTCCCCTTAAGGCTTGGGGGGGGGGCAGGAGACTTGCAGGGGGGAATCCCATGCCCCCCATAGCAGTTCCTGATCCCACCACCCACCTTTAGCCAGCAGCAACTGTGCCTGGAAGCTGTTCTGAACCCAGAGCGGCTCCTGGTGTCTTCTGCTGCGGCAGTCAGGCCCAGAGCCTCTCCCTGAGTGCTCTGCCACAGCGTCAGGGCCTGGGGCAGCTCCTGGAGTGCTCCACCATGGTGCCTGGCCCTGGGCCGGCTTCTGGAACACTCCACTGCAGCACCTAGGCATCTCTCAGAGTGCTCTGCCATGGCACCTGGACCCAGAGCCTCTCCTGGTGTCTTCTGCTGCCATGACCAAGCAAGGAGCTGCTCCTGGCATCTGCCATCACCACCAGCCAGAAGTGATTCTCTGCACCACTGCCAGTTGAACCAGTGTGTTCTCTGCACTTGCCCAGAGATCGCAACTTTACTTTTGAGGGGATTTAAACCCCTCTGTATATATTTTTAAAAAATTTCAGATTTTCCTGCAAGCCTGAGGAGTGCCCCAAGTTTGCTGAAAAATCTGTTTAGCCCCCTGTAATGGACCCCTGCTTCTTCTTCACTGTGAGGCAGATTTTCCTGTCAAAATGCTATTCCCCCACTCTGACTAAGCAGTCTCTTAGTAGCCTGTTTTAATAATAGAGTCCCGCCTCTGTGATTGAGAAGTTATTTGGCTTTTGCCCAGACCAGAGATTTATTGTAGTTAAGCAGGAGCCCTCTTATGAATCCCTTTTGGAAATGGCAGTTGACAAGAAGTTTGCGTTCTAACAGAAAGGTTGATTTTATTGAACAGGCACAGTTGGGTTAGGAATATGGCAGGGGACAAGAAGTTGAGGTAAATTTTGTTGTTTATACAGATTATTATATTATGAACAAGCAACAGTGTATAGTTGAAACTTATATTCTTAGAGACTCAGTTCTTAACTGTAAGAGATTTGTTTGCCTTGGGGATTTCTTTCAGCAACCATGTGTCTTAATAACGTTTCATATAACTATCTGAGTTTCCTGGAGGTTAGCACTTTCTTCCTGTATTTAAATACTTCCCTTGTGGGATTACAGCTTTTCTTTTTTACTCTTGAGGAGTTTCCCTTTTCACACAAACCAGGGGTCCCTTATGAGTTGAACCCACTGAATAACTGGGTAAGAAATATCCTCTTCTTAGGAGCAATAATCCTTTTCTGTTTGGCTAGACTGGTAGTTGCAACCTCCTGGTCAGTCTCTTCTGTTAAACTTAACCCCCAGTTTTGGAGACCGTGAATAAATGGAATCCAGCTAGGGCTGGCACTTAGATTCATGGAATCATAGAGTTGGAAGGGACCTCCAGGGTCATCTAGGCCAACCCCCTGCACAAGGCAGGAAATTTACAAATACCTCCCCCTCTACACCTGCAGTGACCTCTGTTCCACGCCTAGAAGATGACCAAAAGACCTCCAGGATCCCTGGCCAAACTGGCCTGGAGAAAAAATTGCTTCCTGACCCCATAGTGGCAGTCAGCATTTCCCTGGGCGTGTAAAAAAGGGCCACAAGAACTAAGCACTGAGGCAACCCTTCCTGCCCTCCCTCTCATGATCTGCCTAAGTTCACAGAATCCGCATTGCTGTCAGGTGGCCATCTAGCCTCTGTTTGAAGACCTCTAAAGGAGGAGAGCCCACCACCTCCTGAGGAAGCCTGTTCCACTGAGGAACCACTCTGTCAGGAAATTCTTAGACTTTAAGTTGTAATTTCTGAACTTTTCCTCAAATGTGAAGGTACAACCGTAAGGGCAAGGAGTGTGTCCCTTTACTTCCCAAGTGAACCTGTCTGTTTCTCTCAGACTGACACACACACTCTCCTCCTGACTGGCTACTGTCAAGTCGAAGTCCAAACAACAACACTTTGACAAGAGTTTTGAAAGCTCTCCTCAGCTGGTGCACGCAGGGAGCAGCCTGTCAATCAAACTGTGCTTTACAATGAGGCATTAACCCCTGATCTCCCATCTCGCTGCTTTTGATGCACAAACATCCTGCTTTTGGAGGTCAGTTCGTCACACCCCCATGTGGGCCTAATCCACAGATTATTTATCCGCATATGGGGGACACATGTGGCTAGCTGTATATAGATAAATGCTACCCTGAAACATAATCAGACTTTAATGAATTTCTAAGGATAAGCAGACCTGGTTCTCTTTATTAGTACATGGATGTTTCCTGTGCTTACTGTACTCTTCTTGGTGTCCCCCCCCCTTTCGTAACAATCCTTAATTGCTGAACAAAAAATGTTACTATGGAGATTGGGTGGAGTATCAGATAAAGATTATTCTTCTTTGTCTCCTTGAAATCATGGCACTTTTATTCTGTAATCTCTAACTTGACTTAAGGCCTGGACTCATAAAGCAAATCCCTTTTGATGCCCTTTTCTGAGGTAGATACTACTGATTGCTTTTGTTGACCCATATGTGTGTTGTGGAGAAAAGTCCCTCCATGAAACTGCAGGCAACAGACTGTTTCTATCAAACTGCAGTACTCCCATCTGATAAAAACAGAATGTAACAAATGAGGTCAGGGAGAATCCACAGCAACCATTGTTTCATGGGGCGATGGTATGACACCAGCCTGATACAGTATTTTTAGGCAGGCAATCTTAATACTAACCATAAACTTGAGAGTGGCAGGAATAGGAGATGAAATTGTATCTGACTGATATGGGACACTGGGTTAGATCCAATCAGTTTTTCCCCTGTGGAAAAGGGGTGGAAGGGGTTCTTCTTGACTCTCAAAATAGTTATACTGAGGATCATGGGATATGCATGGACAAAAGCCCTGTGAAACAGGAAGGGAGGTTGTAATAAGGAGGGGAATTAGGTGAGTGGAAAAACTGCCTCGGTTATCAAGCTCAAATGATCTGAACTGTTCAGATGTGGTCTTTGGAAGGAAAGTAAAACTTGTCATTGGTTGTTTTCTAACTTGGTTCCCCCCTTTTCCTTTCAGTTACGATTTTACACCAATGGATTCCTCTGCAGTTTATGTGTTAAGCAGCATGGCTCGTCAGCGCCGTGCTTCGTTATCTTGTGGAGGGTCAGGAAGCCAAGACTTTGAAAGATCGGAATGCAGCACAAACTGTGGGCCTGCCCAGTCATCACAGATATCATCCAATTCTTCGTGTAGTAAAGCTGGCAAAAACCACAGCTCAGGGACTGCGAGTACTGTGAGTGCCACTTCTCCCAACAAATGCAAAAGACCAATGAATGCCTTCATGCTTTTTGCCAAAAAGTACAGAGTAGAATATACTCAGATGTATCCAGGAAAAGATAACAGGTAACTAATATTTACCCTTCTAATTGGACTTTATATTTTACAGGCTCAGCTTTGACCTGCCATTGTGTACTCCATTGATCTGGATAGAGACTGTGCATAGTGCATTATTTAATTCTTTAGAAGTGCTGTTGCAGTTTGTGCTTTCTCTTGAAAGCAGCAGAGGAGCAAAGAAGAAAGCAATGAAGGAGAGACGCAATGATAGCATAAGTGCTGGCCTTTCCCTAGCAGCCCTGTGTGACCACTGGGAATCTGATTCTGATTTGACACTGCTTTGCCCTGGCAATTTGTAGGATCCAGCCCAGTGCATCCATCAATTAATGATCAGTGTAACAAGTTAAACATGAAATTCCAGTTCCATTAACACAGCTAGCCTAGTAACATTCACTGGAGCTCTGAGGCAAATAGATATTACAAAGACTTAATTATACACACTTTCACTAAAGGCTGCACTTGGGGTGGGCTCCTTTTCCAATATGCTGTGTCTTAGAATCATAGAATGTTAGACTTGGAAGGAACCTTGCAGGTCATCTAGCCCCACCCCCTGCACTCTGCAGGAGCATAGCCGAAAGATAGCCCAACAACATACCCGAAAGATGGTCGTCCAGCCTCCGCTTGAAAACGTCCAGCGAAGGAGCATCCACCACCTCCCGAGGCAGTCTGTTCCACTGCTCAACCACTCTAACAGTTAGGAAGTTTCTCTTGATATTTAGCCGGTAACGACTCCCTTGTAATTTCCACCCATTAGATCTAGTCTTGCAATCCGGAGCAAGAAAGAATAGATCCACTCCCATCTTCTACATGACAGCCCTCCAAATATTTGAAGACTGTCATCGTGTCCCCTCTAAGCCTTCCCTTTCCCAGGCTAAACATACCCAACTCTTTCAGCCTGTCCTCATAAGACGGATTCCAGCCCTCTCACCATCCTGGTTGCCCTCTTCTGGACACGCTCAAGCTTGTCAACATCCTTCCTAAAATGTGGTGCCCAAAACTGGACACAGTACTCCAGGTGAGGCCTGACCATAGCAGAGTTGAGCGGAACTACCACCTCCCATGATCTGGACACAATGCTTCTGTTAATGCATCCTAAGACTGCATTAGCTTTCTTCGCAGTCACTGCAGGCTCATGTTTAGCTTGTGCTCTGTTACCTGAAATACCTACCCAAGTATGTGTCTTGCCTTTGATATGCCCGGAGCCAACCATCACCCTTGCTTGCATCCGAAATCTTCAACTTCCATCATGCCTGAAGTAAGCTTAACAGTGCACTGACTGGGTTGGCAGGCTAAATGTATACTTTCTGGAACAAAAGGTGCTTATTAAAATTATGATCAATAATGCTAGTCTTTAGTTGAAACTTCGTCTCAGAGTTCCAATATAAATAGTAGTTGCACCCATCTGCTATTGTTTGGGCAGGCACAACTATTAAGGAATGGTTACACAAAAGTAACTGGTTGTAGTATCGTCCATAGGTTAGATTCAGAATAGGGAGCCAGCACTTGGGAAAATCTCACCTGGAGAGTTTGGTGTCTTTATGTTGTAGTTCTGAAGCTGCATATCTTCAGCCATCTGTGCTAGTTGTTTTTTTTAAAAAAAAATGGTGGGAAAGAGAAGCTGCAGAATCCAGTTTGGTTAGAGTTCTGAAAATAGCCAAGCCTGCCATTTAAAAATGTTGGCACATTGGTCTGTAACCTTTTCAAGCTACAATTTATCTAACCAGAGCATCATGGATCCATTTAAATGTTGTACTAACATGGAGAAGGTAATCAGAAAGGAAATAGACATTAGAAATTGTTGTTCAGCCCATTAGATTCTTGCCTTCAGTGTATTCTGCTTCTTCTCCAGAGCCATTAGTGTGATACTTGGTGACAGGTGGAAAAAAATGAAAAATGAAGAAAGACGGATGTATACATTAGAAGCCAAGGCCTTGGCTGAAGAACAAAAACGTTTAAATCCTGACTGCTGGAAACGGAAACGAACAAATTCAGTATGTTTTTGTCTGTTCTTGATATTTTAGTCTTGAAGGTTGGAGTTCATGCAGAATACTTTCTGGCAACTTTTTAACAAAAGCAGGACACACAAGCCTTTGCACTTGTCCCAGAAACTGAACTCTCAAGTTCAGAGTTAAAGGCAGTCTTCCCTCCTTTTCGCCATAGCCATGCCATTTGGACACAGTACAAAAGAGAGTGAGTTTCTTTGGGGTGCACCCAGCAAGTTTTTTACGGCAGAGTGAGGATTTGAACTTGGGTGTCTCCTGGCCGACACTTTAACCAATGCACCCAGCTGGCTAACATAGATCTTCCCCAGCACTCTGTTTTGACCTGGCCTCAGCATGGAACAAGAGCCCAGTCGACTGGTGGAATGCATTGAGGAAGAAAAGTGGGGGGTGGGGTGGGGGACCACTTCCCATCTCTTCCAGCTGCAGAAATGTGCTGCTGGAATAGGGAGCAACTTGGCTCTCTTCCTTACCACAGCCCACTGACCTGAGTGGTGGTTGTGTTTTTTAAATATTTGTTTCCCTCCTTTCTTCATGGCTCAAGGTGGCTTACATATCACAGTTAAAAAGATTACAATTTGAAACCAAAAGAATAACCCACACCAGATATGCCCCCCTCCAAGCTGTCTTCAGTTATACCCTATAGAAACCCAGGTGACTGAAAGGGCCCTGCAGTGCCTGATTTCTTCAGCTATCCAGAGAATGTGTTCCACAGAGTAGGAGCTACAATGTAAAAGGAAGGGGCTGTAGTTGATGCCAGGTAGGTAGTGCATGGGGATATATGAGTGAATATGGTTTTTTAGATATGTGGGTGCTTGAATATGAATGGCTTTAGAGGTCATAACCAGCACCTTGAATTGGAAATAAACTGTCAGCCAATGTAGCTGTTTTAAGATAGGGGAGTCTCAGTCCATGGGCACCCCCCCCCCCCGCTCATATGCAAGAGTCAACTCCATCCCAGTCAGAATAGAAATTTGAAAACCTGGGGAAAAACTAGAAACAATTGGGGAAAAAGTTTTTGTGAGGATGGTTTTATGATTTTTCTGACAGAAAAACTGGAAAAAATTGGAAATACGGGGGGGGGGGGGGAATTCTTTTTGAATATTTAAAAACAGGAAAAACGCGGGGGGGGGGGGGAATCTCTTATGAAATATATTGTTTTTTAGAATGAGCAAATTGCTCCTTAGAGCGAAGTTTTTCACACTCGGAATGCATAGTATGAAAAAATTTCACATTTCAAATGTGTGGCATGAAAAAGATCAAGGATTAGAATTGGGGAAACACTGAGAAAAAAACCTACCTTTTCCCCTTTTGGAATAAGGGAAATGAAAAGGTTTTATGCAGAATTACATCGTGATAATTCCTATGTATACTGTGGATGTATGCAACATTTGCAATAATTTTTTTGGTAATTCTGGCAAAAATTAGTATGCTATATTTGGTCACATTATGAGAAGACAGGAGTCAGTGGAAAAGGCAATAATGCTATGAAAAGTTGAAGGCAGCAGGAAAAGAGGATGACCCAGCATAAGAGCGATTAATTTCCATTTGACAAGGGAGCCACAGCCCTCAGTTTGCAACGATAGGACATTTTTGGAGGACATTAATTCATATGGTCTCCATAAACTGGAAGCGATTTGATGGTACTTAACACACACACAATGTGTTAAGAATGATATATTAAAGAGTTACGTTTGCAGCAACTTATTCTCAAGTATTGGGTATACTTGCAGTTTTCTCATAGAAAATAAAGGCTTTTACACTTTTAAATTCCATAAATATGGCAAATAGTATAATTTTATAAGTTATAAATGATGCATCATATGTTGTAATATCCTTAAAAGTTTAGATTTGATAGGAAAATAAGTACTGCATATATTACTTAAATTCCCCTCTAAATTTCTGTTTTTTTCTGGTGAGGAGGGAAATGGGGAATTTTTCCCCCTGTGGCTTCAGTATGTCCAAATATTTTACATCTCTGGATCAGAAGGGACTGTTGGGGAGAGGGAATGGGGAAGATCTGTTGACTGTCATCACCTTCTACTGCCAGATTGCTTGATCAGCTGATTGTTTGGTAATGTCATGATGCACACAGAAGGCGGGTGTGAGCTTAAAAAAAGTCTATCTATCTCTATTCTGTAGTTATACCTTTTGACATTAATACACACACGGGGGTAAGAAACTACCAAAACACTTTAAGATGAAGGATTTTCTTGCTCAGTTTCCATGTGCGTTTCACCAGTTAGACAGATCTCCGCCTTCCATTTCAGAAACCCAACTATAAGCCAGTATTTGATATTGACATGGGACTCCGATGTCCACGTGTTTTGTTGAGCCCTGACTGTATTGAAATTCGGCTGCCTCTTAATCCATTGCTGGCATCACTGAACACTTATACTGTGAGAAGCTGGAGCTGGCATGAGAAACTTTTTTTCCAACAGTAGATGGAGCCATGTACAAATTGAAGCCAGGACAGATTCCACTGGATTTGAAATGATAACATTAAGTCTGTGCAGATCTGTAAATGGCATTACAGTTAATATTTGCAGAACAGGCTTTGAAACCTCCTTACAGCTGTGAATAAGAGCACTTCTTCCCTGTCATACAGGAAGAGAACCTGCTATAGCTTGAGCTAGGAACTTGAAGACCAGTTACAGGGAGAATGAACAGTTTCTCTGTTGACAAGTGCACATTGGATCTATCGTATCAGTAGCCATCATTTTTTATCTCTGCTATTTTCTAAGTGAGTATCTTTTTTTTGTTTGTTTACAGGGTTCACAATAACATTAATCAAAATTCTTCTATGTATATCTGGTGGAAGATCAAGGTTTCATCATTTGTTGTGAAGGTGTGACCATATGGGCTGCGTTGGGTCATTAGGAATGAGGATTTGCTTCTTACAGTAGAGGATTAAGCAAGCTACAACTATCAACATTTTAAACCAAATTGCCTTATTTTTTTTTCTTCCAAACTACATATATGTCTATCAGGTGTAATAGGCTTGAAAAATGGATATCCTGTGGTGCTAAAGAATAGTAGGAAGAAGAGGAGCTTTGTATAAATGTTTATTTTTTTAAGAAAATGCACAAAAAGGGGAATTTTGAAATATGTAACACCTGTTTATACATTGATTCTTATTGCTGATTAATATGTATTGCACAACCTATGTAATTAACTACAAATCTGGGAGCTGGGGTTTTCTGACATAACATAGGAACTTCTAGTCTGCCCAGTGCAAAACGTTACCAGAATGTGTGGCAAAGTGGATAGAGTATATCCTATATGTAGCAAGATTTCTGTCTGGGGAGGCGTTGCATGTAGAATTTACATTTGAAGCAGGAGCTCTTTCCTGTTGGAAATGAAAGGCTCACAGAACTGCCAGGGCTGCAGATAAATGGCCCAGGATTAGATTCATTGAGAGCATTGCATTATCCCAAAAGAATGGTGCTGTTGTGATGACACCATTTTATTTTTAAAGCGTTTTTTTGTCTCCTATGCTGCATATTTTTAAAGTTTTTATTTTGCCAGAAGACATCTTTTATGATGAGGACAAACTTTGCACTTACTAGAGGTGCAACATTTGCACTTTACTCCCCACCCCAAAACTGTCTAAAAGTAGAGTAGATATGTTAGATATATGGCTACTTTTGCTGTGAACATTTACAACATAGATTTAATATTACTAAATAGAGTGTGTTTCTGTATAAGAATCACAACTATAGATTTCAGCACCTGCCAGGTCTATGTCTACATGATGTTGCTCCTTTGATTTTGCACACTATATTCATGTATTATTTCAAATAAATTTGTAAAACATATTATTGTACATTGTATGAATCGCATAAAATTGATACCCAACCACTCTCAGAGGTGTGACTAACTGTTATGTAATGTAAATGACGCTTGGAAAACAAGAACCAAACATATTGAATTTCTTTTAATTAGATTGTTTTCATTTAGAACTTGACAGAACTTTACATAATGAGGTCAGAATCAACATATATGAACTAAACTGTACTATAAAGCATGAACATTGTTGATAGGAAGCAAATACACATTACTCCTTTTTAACTGTTTCGAAAATCCGATTACAGCTTTCCCACTTTTATCAAATGCAGGAAGGGGAGCCTTCTCAGTGGCTCTTCAGTTTCTAAATTCAAAGGGTAACGTCAGAAAATTGTTCCTAAATATATTTATCTGAAATTAGCCTAATAAAAAAGTACATTGTAAAAAACTTCTGTTGATAAGGAAAGTTGTAGGAAGCAAAACATTTCAGTTAAGCAGCAACAGATTTTTGTGGCAGAAGGAAAGATGCTTCTAAAGCAGGACCCCCCCTACCATTAGTGCTGAGTCTTGATGTCTTCAAGAGACATTTCTACTGAAGCACAGACGTGGCTTTCTGCAGCAGCTGCACCATTATGGGATAGACTGGAGCAAATTCTTTTCCTTCTCTACTTCTTACTGATTGCACATAAGCTTCCAGGGCACCTCTGTTTAAAGGGAAAAAGGCTAATTAGAATGGTTTGAAGTTGGTTGTGAAAGCAAGCCTGTAATATGACACTACCCAAAAATATGCAGACTAGCTTAGAAGTGCCTACTGCCTTGCTGCTGACGACTCAGCTACTGACCGTGATCACTACAGCAGAAACGACTTTCCAGTAACATTCATGAATACATACAGAAAAGCTGAGTGTTCCCTTTAGTAGCTCCACCTTGAACCCTTTGTTCTTACTGGCTCTGTAATGTCACAACATCCACTTTATGTTCCTTTATTGGCTAACATCATGAAGTGAAGATGAAACAATCCACAGTGTTACCAAGACAGCAGCAGTTCATCAAGGTCTGCAGACAGGTACCCCAAATCAATCCCCCTACCCCTTTGAAGCTTTTCCTAGTCAACCAACCACGGGGGTGTTTCATAGAGTGGATGTCCCTCTCTCTAGCCAGTGTTCCCTCTAAGCTGAGATAGTGTGAGCTAGCTCAGTTTTTTAGCCTCCAGCTCATATTTTTGTCTTCGCTCAGGAAGGATGGCTCCAGAGCAAACATATATGCAGTAGCCAAATAGCTCGCTCACAACTTTAATGCCAGTAGCTCACAAAGTAGAATTTTTGCTCACAAGACTCCACAGTTTAGAGGGAGCATTGATCTCAACAATAATTTAAAGTAAAAATTGCTAGTTATTGTTTGCCTTCTAAACATTCTAATAGCCTTAGGCCACTAGCCTTTGGGATAGCATTTCAACCCTATTAAGGATCATTTATTAAAACAAACTGACAACAAGGAAAAGTTTTGTGAGAAAACAATAAAACTGTCCACACCAAGTTGCCTTTCCATTTCTGATTAGTGTGCCAGACCAATATCTTTCTAGTGGCAAGGGACCACCCATTTTAGGGTCCCACAAAAACAAGTCAGAACTCCTGTCTGCATACCAAGCAAAGAAAAACAGAACAGACCTCAGCAGGATGTGTGGATGTAACTGAGGAAGAAGAGATTGGATTTATACCCTGCCCTTCACTACCGAAGGAGTCGCAGGGCGGTTTACAACCTTTCCCTTCCCCACCCCAGAATAGATTCCCTGTGAGCACAGTTCTTTAGCTTAAGAGAGACAGAGAAGGGGGAGAAATGGCAACAGCTGGGCTTCATTGGGCATGTTATGGCAGCGGTAAGTTTGAGGGACAAATGGAGGGACGTTCTGACACTCAGCATCTGTACACTGTACACTCTCCAACTCATCCAAAGTGATACGCATGGAGAGGGTCTCACTGATATCCCCACTTCAATTTTGATGATGTACAATGCCACATCTGTAATGCATGCTTCTCTTTTTAGATGAGTCCATCGACTTAGCATGTGTGACTAAGGCCTGCCTGCTGGTTTATTGTCCATCTAGGTTACTAGTGGGTGCCCTGACTGAACTGGCAGAGACAGACAGTGGCCTGGGGTTGAACTAAACTAATTGTTTTGGGGTCAGCTGAGATTACCTTGTCCAGTCACGCTTAAATCTTCATGACAGCACAGTACTGTACCAGATCATTTTTTTTCTATGCTCCCCCCCCCCAGCTTTCTTCTATCAGAATCTACATAGGTGTTGTGTCAATGCTGTTCTGTAGTACCCTTGCCCTGCTCAATCTACAAAGTGAGACGGAGCTCCCTTTTTCATCCAAAAGTGACCACATGAGAGAGAGAGAAGTGAAACCCCCTGCCATTTCCCCCTCCTTACCTTGCAGCACTCCAGTGCTTTGAACATTTTTTTATCCAAACCTGGCTCCCATGAGCATAGGGATGTCTGCTTAAGTCTTTCATAGCCCTCAAGCTCCATATAAAACCAGCTGCCAAACTGTTTTCTCAGGACTGCTGTAGCTGACAAATGCAAACCACTACAGTTCATTCCCTTCCACTGCCTATGACTCAGCATCAGGGCAAGGAAAAAATAAAACAGGAGTCTGGAGCATCTTCCAAAGACAAAAACCACTTTCACAGAGCAGAGACAACCTGTTGATTCTGAATTGTCATCTTACCTAATGGGGGGTCTTCATCATTTCAAAAAGGATGTAATTGGAAAAATTAAGAAAGATATTTTTGGTGTGAAGCAAATGACTCGATAACAGTTGAGTTCTATCAGCACTGATCTGTGCACACTCAATGCACTTTGACAAAATGTTTTTAAGGAGTTCAGTGCTGCAGAACATGCTGCACACAGATAGACTGCATCCTGAACAACTAGGGTTGAAAAGCTTGATGTCTCAAAGCTGCGAAATATCAGATATTAACATTAAATAGAGGTATACTTCCCATCAAAATGTGTAAAGCTGGAACATTGTGCTGCTTAAGGACAATGAATAGGCCAGTAGGAAACAAAAGTAAAGGTCTGCAATGGAATGAACCTGCAATATTGGCAAAAACAAAACCATTTTGCACTAGTGGAAAAATTCAGAGGACTAGATCCCATGTCCGAAGAATTCAGTGGAAACGTACCTGATTAAAATGAGCCTGTCCTTCTCCGAGGGATGGTCATCAAGCCATCGGGAATAACGGGCAACGGTCCATTCGGCTCTCTTCCAGGAGCCAAAAGAAAATCCATTAAATATTTAACCAAAGTTGAATGTATATGCAAAATATATTCCCTGTCATTTCCAAGTGTGGAACAAAAGTTAATGCTAGGAGATAACTGGTGTAGGTGAAAAATATCAACCATGCAATAATACAAGCAAATAGCTATGAATTGCAGAGATCTTCAGAAAATCTCAGACAATATGCCATTGACAGCACTTTACAGCCAACAACAGTATTTAGTAACTTGGGGCTTTGATTGAACGCAATTGTTTCCTCAGAGCATTCTGAACTGCTAAGGAAAAGTGGGGACTAACAGGTCAGAATTAAAGTGGCTGCTGAATAGGTCCCTTTTGCTTATAGATGGTTGATATGCACTGTGGAGGTGGTTCTCCACTTCCACAAAGTATCCTTAGATACTGAGGGCTGAACTAGACTTGCAGAAGATCCGCACGTATTTATTCCTGTGTCCTCCAGCTCAGATGTAAAACACAAAGTGAGGGGGAGCTCCCTTTTTCATCCCACCATTTCCCCCACCTTACCTTGCAGCACTCCAATAATCTGAACATTTATTTTTTTTGCCAAGCCTGGCTCCCATGGGCATAGGATGTCTGCTTAAGTCACAAAAGTCTCTGCTGTATTGGGGCTCAAAAAAAAAAGGAAATAGGAAGGTGCTTCCTTTAGAAGGAAACACTGATGTCCACATCTACACGTGGCTACCACCAGTAAGAGATGGCACTGAGATATGGAGCGTGATTTTGATGCAGAGCATGAGAATGAGCAAACAAACAGAAGCTGCATCTGGTTTCCAGTTTGATTGGGGAAAACCCAGCAGCAAAGACGTTGGGTGGAGCCAGCTGTGGTGGCACTGCCCCAGTGTAAATTGAGCAGGGCAAGGGCACTACAGAGCAGTATTGACACAACACCTGTAGATTCTGATACTGGAAGAAAGCTGCGGGGGGGGGGGAGCAGAGACAAATGCTCAGAATAGTGGAATGTTGCAAGGTGAGGTGGGAGAGGGCAGGCTTTTGCTCTTGCCCACTCTAGGCTCCAGTGTTAGTCAAAAAGACTCTTTTTACACACGAACAGAAGACATAAATATACATGGATCCTCCCATAATATCAGGTGTGACCCTAAGTCCAGACTTAAAAAATTATCACGGTGAAATACCTTTCCTTTCATTGTTCTTTCTGCTACTGAATTTTGCATACCAGTCTATTAAAACAGAACTGGCCTATTTTACCTTAGAAATCAACAACAAACACAGTCTGCTCCAGGGCAGCTTCTGCTTCGATTCAAAGGATAGAGAGTGCAGCTCTGCTTGTGGAATGGATCTTTACCATTTCGCCCTTCTCACTTATTCCCCTCTAGGATCCCAAAACATGGCAGGACCTACAGCATGGCTGTGATGTTAGGGTTTGCAGTGGTGAGTTCTCAGGGCTATTTTTGGGCTGGAAAGCACTGGAACGGCGTTCCGGCTGAGTTCCTGCTTAGCCACGCCCCCTGCTCCCAACAGCCCTCCGGTGGCCCGACTGAGCAGGCCACTGGAGCAAGAAGTAAGGTAAGGTAAGGCAAGGCCTGATTGGGGGTGGGCTGTGGGGGGTGGCTGGGGCTTGATCAAGAGATGGGAGTGGGCCGCGGGGTGTGTGGGATCCAGCCAAATCGCCCTGAGTTCTAGGAAATTGATGCTCTTCCGTGCCTCATCTATCAACCATTCCCCCTGAGCCATCTGGCCTGCCGAATATGCCCCCCATCCCAAGAGGCTTGCATTCGTAGTCATGACCAGTCCTGGGGGATCTCGAAGAGGGGACCCTTGTTTGAAGCGACTCAGTGCCAGCCATCACAATAGTTATTGGTGCACTTCTGTTGGAAGTTGTAGGCGCATGTACCTTTTTCATGCTATGGCCCCCTAATAGGGCAACAGGAATCTCTGCAGGGGCCTGGCATGGAACCGCGACCACTGTACAATTTCCTGACAGGATACCAGCATCTCTAGCAGTTTACTAGGGTCATCAGCTCTATCGTAGTCTGCCTTATCACTTCCGTCAACAGTGATTGAACCTTCAGTTCCCTTTCCTGAGATATGAAGGCCCGATCGATTGCTGTATCTATCTCTACCCCCAGGTGAAGCAGCCTCTGGGAAGGCGAAGGTGACTCTTTTCCCAGTTGACCACAAACCCGTGGTCCCTCAGGACCCGGACTGTCAGTTGCAATGCTTGTTCGCACTCCCGGAGCAACAGCGCTTTGATTAAAATATCGTCCAGTTATGGGAAAAGGCCTACCCCTTTCAGTTGGAGGTGCGCTACTAGAGTCACTAGTATTTTTGTGAAAACCCTTGGAGAGGATTTCAGCCCGAACGGGAGGACTCTGTACTGGTAGTGTCGACTGGCGTATACAAAGCGAAGGAATTTGCGGTGGTCCCTGTGGATAGGAATATGTAGGTAGGCTTCTAAAAGGTTTACTGATGTCATAAAGTCTCCCTTCTGGATGGCAGACAGAATGGACTTGAGAGTTTCCATCCTGAACTTTCTGTCCTTTATGAGTTTGTTGGACCATTTGAGATCTAAAATAGCTCTTGTGTCTCCATTTTTCTTTGGCACTATGAAGAACACAGAGTAAACTCCTTGCCCCTGCTGGGAGGATGGAACTCTTTCTATGGCCTTGATGTCTAGAAGGTATTGAATTGCCTCTTTTGTCTGAAGGTGTTTCACTTGGTTGCGGATCTTTGCAATTTGAATAAAACACCGGTGGGGAAAGGAAGAGAACTCCAGTTTGTATCCACGGGTCACCGTGTCCAGGACCCACTGATCCATAACCGTTTGATGCAAAATTTCTGAAAAGGACTGCAGTCTTCCCCCTGTCCCCAACAGGTTTTCTGTGTTCCTGTAGTCCTGCTGAGGAACCCTTTTTGAGGCTTTTGGTAGAGGATAGTTCACCCTTGTTGTTACCAAAGGATTTGTTATTCTGTGGTCTGGATTGCCACTTTCCTTTGAAGGGTCTGGAATAGAAAGGTTTCTGCCCCCTCTTCTGATCACGAAAGGGCTGGAACCTTTTCCTGGATTTACCCTCTCTCTTTTTGGAAGGAAGGACTTTCTTCTTGTCCTTGTCTTCTATCAAGTATCGGTCTAGGCTCTTTCCAAAGAGGTTCACTCCTTTAAAGGGAATCGCCGCCACCGTCGCTTGCGCTGAGGAGTCCACGTCCCAGTGACGAAGCCAAGTGTTTCTCCGTGCTGTCACACTTCCAGGCCATTGCCCTGGCCGAGAGTTGGAGCATGTCCAGGGAGGCATCTGCTGTGAATTTGACTGCTAGAGCAATTTTCTTCAGCTCGTCTTTAAATTCTTTTAGGGCGTCACTGTCTGCTGAAGCCAGGTTTTCGGCCCAATCGTATGCTGCCCTGGCAAACAGGGAACCTGCCGTGGATGCCTTAATTGAAGAAGAAGAGGCTTCAAAACTTCTGCGCAGAGCCTGTTCTATGCGTCTGTCAGTGTGATCTTTTGGCATCCCGTCTGCATCCATGGGTAAGACAGAGTTAGAAGACATACTGGTCACTGGGTCATCCACTACTGGAAGTTTCAGCTTCTTAGTGGCATCTGGCATCAGTGAATAAAACTTAGAGAAAAGATGGTGGTTAGCTTTGGGCTTAGCTGGGTGATCCCACTCTGCTTTCATAATTATAAAAGGAGGCAGGAGGAGTAGCCCTGGTTGTGAGGTGGAGACTTTTGGCATCAGTTTACCTGATCCCTTTTGGAACTCTGAATCCTGGTCTGCCTTCTCCTTGGGCTTGGAGGTGAGATCTAGACTCCTCAAAACTTTAGGCAGGAGCCAAGAGTATAATTTTTGTGGGAAAAGCCTCGATTAGACAGAAGGCATCACCTCCTCCTCCTCCTCCTCTGAAAGTTCCCCTTCCTCTCTTTCTAAGGAAGAGATGGTAGAGTCTGACTCTGCTTCCTTATTTCCCAACAGGGGACTACGCTCCTTAGTGGGCGACTTGGTCCACTTTCTCAGTTTTGATCTAGAAGCGGACCTAGAGGTGCTTGATGAGTCATCTTCTCTGTTTCTGGCCCTCTTTATGGTTCTGCTCCTTCCTATGGGAGATTCATGGGAGCCAGAGCCTTGGAACGTTTCTTGCAGCATTTCCTTAAACTCCCTTCTCATCTCACTTCTAAACCAGTTTAGGAGCTCAGTCTTATCACCCCTGGTCACCAATACTTGTGGCTCCATGGACTCTTCTGATGCCAAGGAGACTGACAGTCTGGGCAAATTCAGTTCCCCAAAGGAACTATCTCTATCCTGGGAGCTACCTGGAATGGCTTTATCAGCCATCCCTCTCTGCCTGCAGGGGGAGAGTGAAACAGAAAGTGCTGTAAGGAAGCATGAGGGATCAAGATGGCTGCCACCATTCCCCCTCCGCCAAAACTTTGCTCCCCCTTGCCCTAGTAGGGCTGCAAAGTGGGGGGAAGGGTCTCTGTTCTTGGGTCCCCCTGAGGAGGTTCACCCCCCCACATCCCGGTGAGATCTGTTTTAGAGAGGCAGCTTCCAACTGCTTATTGTTGAAGGGAGAATCCCCCCCCCAGTTTGTCTGGTTCCTGGGGGAGGGTCCCAAGCTCGCCTGGCTGGTCTCGCCAATCAGCCACCCCTGTACGGGCCATTCCCAACCTAGACAAAGCCCCGAAGACTCCAGGGGGCAGGCCCTCCACTCGATAGGTAAGTAAGGCCAGCGGAGGTCTGCCAAGGGCCACCTGAGTGACGCGGCAGCCGGGGACTTCCCAGCGCCGACTAGCCCTCTCTGCTGCCAACTCCAAGCACTAAGGTGCTGCGGCCCGATTCTTCTTCTTCTTTCTTCTTCTTCTAGTGTTCTTGCTCGCTGTGCTCTGCAGCACTGCCCAAGCATGTCCTGCTTCAAGGCAGGGCCGGCAAGAACTGGGATGCCTCCAGGGGATAAGCCCCTCCCTGCCTGGATCAAAGCTCAAAGCCGATTCTGCTAATGGAGGAGGAGCTTATCCCAGATGTGAGGACTGTCCCATGAACTGAATCACTGGAGAACAGTGCTTGTGAACTTTTTCTGCCAGAGCAAAAGCAGCAAGCCATAACTTGAATGCTGGTACAAACATTACAGCAATTAGGGATGGGCACAGCCTGGGTAGCACACTCCTTCACTGGGGGAGGCAAAGCCCAAGTGTGGACCCTCCTTGGAGAGACCCAGTAGTGTGGTCTGACCACCTGGCTGTGGTGGGCAGATGGGTGGAGTTGGGAGTCCCAAGTGTTCCCTCTAAGCTGAGTTAGTGTGAGCTAGCTCACGGTTTTTTAGCCTCCAGCTCACAGATTTTGTTTTAGCTCAGGAAGGATGGCTCCAAAGCAAACTAATTAATGCAGTAGCCAAATCACTCGCTCACAAAGTAGAATTTTTGCTCACAGGACTCCACACCTTAGAGGGATCATTGGTCCCGACCCCAGTGGACATGACCCCTGCAAGAGATTGGCAATGAGTAGCACACTTCCTCACAGGGGGAGGTAAAGCCTAGGTGTTGGTCCTCCTTGGAGGGACCCAGTAGTGTGGTCTGACCGCATCTCATGAACGTGGCACACAGCCGAAAGCAGCACACCATTTCCCCAATGCGATGGGCAGCATGGGGTATGACATCTATGTATGGGCCCTCCTTGGAGGGAACCAGCAGCATTTTCCGACTGCCTGGCTTTGGTGGGCAGACAGGTAAGGTTCAGATTCCCAAACTCAGTGGACACAGACATGGCAGGGGACTGGTCTGAGCAGAGCACTCCCTCACAGGGGGAGGCAACATCTAAGTATGAGCCCTCTTTCGAAGGACCCAGTATCGTGGTCTGCCCACCTGGAGGGCTTTTGGAAGGAGCAGAAAGGAAACCCTGCAGCCAGGGAAAAGGGCCATTAGCGAGACCCCCAGAAAGTGGGGGGAAGTTGGATGCTTAGTTGGCAGAGGAGAGAGGTGACCTCCAAGGAAATGACTCAACCAATCCAGGAAGAAAGGGGGGACTTTTGGAAAGAGCAGAAAGGAAACTGTTGCCCTGCAAGGCGTGTGTAGCGCTCTTATGGACTTATAGTTCATAAAGTGATAAACTGGACTGTGCAACTAGTGTGCGAAAGGGGCTGAACTGTGTGGTGACCCTAAAGTGATGCCAGCTGCAGACACACTCCAGCAGAGGAAAAGCCTTCTCCTGAGATGATGTGCCAACGGTTCCTGAGGTTACCTGCCATCTCTTACTCCCTAGTCACATGAAGCACCATGAAGCCAGCAACCATTTGCTATAGAGAAACGCCATATTCCGCAAAAGAGACTTAAAGTCCTGAAGAGACTCCATGAGCAAAACCTTTGCTTCAACATGCAGGCAACCACCCTCACCCCCCCTTCACCTTTACCAGAGACTGCATGTAGGCTCTTAGGCATAACAAAAGCTTTGCAGCCATGAGTGGATTAATGGACTGCCACACCCCAGATAAACCCATCAACTCATCAGCCAAAGCCATCAAAAGACAATACCCCTGGACTCAGCTATTGTTCTCCAAAGGTGCCACTGTTAAAGTAATTAGAAGCAACATTGCCCAACCCTTAAGCTCCCTTCCTCCTGAAACTGGTTTTTAATTAGGAAACTTCTTGGGACTGACCAAGGGGAGGTGACAAGGGAGGTGGCCAGTGAAGCCCACCCCCAAGCCCCAAAATAGAGCTGGCCTGGCCATGTGCTCTCTCTCTCTCCTCTGGACCTGTACCCTGCCCTATCTTGCTGACTCTAGGTGTAGCGCTGCCTGAGTCTGCTGGTACAGAATATGACCCTTAATCCCTTATAGTCTCCCTTATTTTTCCTGTGGATCACTTCATCTCTCCAGAATCAGGTACGTATCACCCACCAATGATTTTTACCTGCTAATGCGAATGTTGCTATCCCTTTCTATCTAACTTTTCTAGGTCTCTGTGTGTGTGTGCTTGAATTTATTGTAAAGAATCCATTTCTCTAAAAGACTCGGTTTCTGCACTTATTCTTGGTTTTACTGGATAAGGTGGGACTTCTGTATACATAGGCTTGTGTTCCCTTAGTTGCCAATTGCTCATTAAATATCATATTTCCCCACAGTTATTAATATATTAAGCAATTTGGTTAACAAAATCCCACAGCCAGGGAAAAGGGCCATTAGCAAAACCCCCAGAAAGTGGTGGGCATGCTGAGTGCCTTGTTGGCAGGGGAGAGAGGCGACCCCCAAGGCAGTGACTCAACCAACCTAGGAAGGGGGGGGGGCTTTTGGAAGGAGCAGAAAGGAAACCCTACAGCTAGGGGAAAGGGCCGTTAGCAAACCCCACAGAAAGTGGTGGGTAAGTAGGGTGCCTTGTTGGCAGGGGAGAGAGAGAACCTCCAAGGTAGAGATTCAAGCAACCCAGGAAGAAGGGGGGGGGGCTTTTGGCAGGAGCAGAAAGGGAAACCCCACAGCCAGCAGGCAGAGAAAAGGGCGGTTTGCGGAACTCACAAAAGTAGTGGGGTAAGTCGGGTGTTTAATTTACGAAGAAGAAGAAGAAAAGAAGAAGAGGAGGAGGAGGAAATTGGATTTATACCCCACCCTTCACTCAGAGTCTCAGAACGGCTTACAAACTTTTTTCCCTTCCCCTCCCCACAACAGACACCCTGCGAGGCAGGTGGGGCTGAGAGAAATCTTTCCAGAACTGCTCTTTCAAGGACAGCTCTGACAGAACTATGGCTTGCCCAAGGTCATCCAGCAGCTGAAAGTGGAGGAGTGGGGAATCAAACCCAGGTTCTCCCAGTTCAGAATCCACACACTTAACCACTACACGGACGACCCCAAAGTCAAAACAAGAACATGTTGTAAAAGCAAAAAAATTCTACCCAAGTTTCCCACCCCTCGCATTAAAGAAGGAGACAGGAGGGGGAAAGAAATCATAGCACTGGAATGCAGAGAAGGGAAAGAAGGCAAAAAAAGAGAGATGGTGATGCTTTCAGTCTGGCAGTTTGTATAGTGGCCAGGAGATCCAGCAGGTTTCCACATACACCACACTAATAAATTTTCCCCCCACCCCAGGCCTACCAACAGATATTTTTCTTATGTGCGAGCAGAACAAGACTCGCAAACACCTAATGCAAACAAAGGACAGGAGTGCACCTTCAGTGATTATATACAGACACACCCAATCCCAAGGAAGACATATGTCTCTCATTGGAAATAAGACTTGCCTGTCAGCTTCAGACTGTCATTATTGGTCTCTTGATGGCTGGAAAACCCCACCCACACCTGATTTTTGGTGCAAAATTCCATGGGTGGGGTTTCTTTGCTGAGAGTGCATGAGAGCTTCTGAGCCAGCCTGAGAAGCTCAGAGACTTCGAGGCCCAAGCACGTGACCTTCGAACCGAGCCACTTGAGCCTCAAACTGGGCCACGTTTGGGCAGGATTTTGGCTTGGCATTTGGGTTTGTGCCCATCCTTCATGGCGATTAAGGAGAAATGTTTTTTTTCACTATTGATTCACGTCCTGTCTCCCTCCCCGAAGACTGCATAACTGGCTTACCTGGAATGGGGATTTCAATTCAGGTGGTGCTCTTGTAAATAAGAACTGAAGGATAGTACTAAATGGAATGATATCTCCCAGTGCTGGGCTATTAGCAATATGCTCACTTGTCTGGAACAGCAATGGTCTAAACAGGGAGAAGGAAGACAGAAGTTATATAAATCAAAAGGAATTCATATTTTACCTGAAGCATCATTTACCAGCAAAACTCTGGTCACAATTAATAGGTTTGCCTGTCCTGTATCAAGTCTCTGGGGATATGTCACAGGTAAGGGGCCATACATGGTCCTCACCACAGTGTGGCCCCACACTAACCCCATTTTATTGGGGACAGCAGGCTTGGCCTCTTCTCTAACAGTGTTGTTTACCACAGCTTATTTTGAACTTCATGGCAGCTACCAAGAATCAGGCCCATAACAACAGAGCCTTAACCTGGGTATTGTTTTTTGAAGTGTAATCCTAATGCAGAGTTGCTGAGTATAAGCCCACTAAAGTCACTGGTCTTTGACTGGAGTAATTCTGCACTGGACTGCAAGTGTAAGTCATGCTACAGTGTGACAAAGAGACATAACTCAGGAACCAGTTTGTACGTTGTTTACATCATGCTAGGGAATAAGTGCCGTTTGAAAAACAAGATCTGTTTCTTCATGCTGTCATTTGCTACTTTGCTTCACAGTCTTCACACTCTTCTGTTATATAATTTGGTAGGTGGTAATTTGTAGTAACAGCTTATTATTTTAATTAAACAGTCCCCCAATACTGCATCTTACTTCCTCTGTTTTTAGAAAAAACCCTAGTGTGATTACACACAGCTCATTATCATAAGAACTGAGATAAAAAAACAAACGCAAAAAGGTACAATTTACCTGATATTAGCACAACACAGTTCTCCAAGTCAGTTTCACTTTGAATAGAATGTTAAAGGAAGAAACCCTTGCGCACACACACACATACAGATTTGTTTGTAATTTATACATCCCAAATAAAATGAGTAGGTGATTTTGTTTAATGAAAAAAATTAATTCATGTTGCCCAGCTGTTAGAAAAATTCTGAATGGAGATTACCTGAATGATCTCAAGAGCCTGTAAGGTTTTCCCAGATCAGAGACACGTCTGCAGAGGGGAGCCACAGCTAACTCCATCTGAAACAGGAAGGAAAACTGGGGGTCAATCAGGAATTCAATGCCTTGGGCCAAACTCAGATCATCAGTGGGTGAATTTCACAGAAAAGTGGCAGATTCCACCAGCTGGACGCCTAGCTCTAAGTAGTGAGTGCATTTCCAGTGTCAAAATGCTAGTAGGAGTCTCAGATCTCCTGTCTGATGACCAAAAGCAGGCAATCACCCAGGAACCACAAACTTATTAGCTAACAGGTCAATATCCCCTTTAGCAGCCAAGGGAGATGGGTGGCAGGCAGTAAGTGCCTTTTGCCTTATCTGGGGCTGTGCACTAATTTCCATTTTTGTGTGTGTCAGTTGGACTCCTCTAGTTGACCTCCATCCCATTATGAAACAGTCAGTGCTGTCCTTGCGAGGAGGACCTATTGTGAATCTGAACCTAGCCATTATTTGAGCAACATCTCTGTTCACAGGTGGGAAGGAAATTCTTTCTAGTATCAAACTGGACAGGTCATAATTTCTATTATTGGAAATGTCTGGGCTGCTTTCCTGGGCCTGGAGGCCAACAGATCAGAAGCGCTGAAATACTGAAGATGACCCTGACTGATTTCAGTTTTATGTTTTCCTCTAAGCACTATGATGGACAAGATACTGCAGATGGCAGCTACATTACCCCACCTCCAGCCCGAAGATCAAGGCACTGTGCGTCTCAACAGACTGCATTATTGAGGATTGCTGTCATGCCTAGGCCATGCCCGGGAGGGTACGCTGCCTTCCACCATCCTGCCAGTCTGCAAAACAAGGTTCTCTGCAAGCCTCAGACCTTGAAGGGAGGGGGTTTGGCTCACCCTGTTCCTCCTCCCCCTCTCTGAGTGACTCTGCTCCTCACTGTCAAGTCCTCCCCAGCTTGCTGACTGGAGCTGCCTGTTAAACCCAGCACCCCCCTGCAAGAACCACTTCCCATCCCTTTGCTAAGTGCTCGCAGCTGCCCCTGTGGGGGGCATTTGGGGCTGTCAGCTACCTTTCAAGCTGGTGTGACCACCACTGGGTCCTGCTGGCCCTGGACCCACCTAGAACTCCATCTCCCCAGCCCAACCTCAGCACTAGGCATGCTTACCCTGCCACCTGGGGAGACTGGCTGGGTGATGCCAAGCCAGGGCGTGCCTCAGACCTTGCTCCTGGGAGGGAGCCAGCTGGGATCACTGGCCCCCGGGTCACGTCCCCTGCCCAGTGGACATGAGCCAGCTGCTCAAGATCTTCTTGCAGCTATGGGGGCCAAGAACAGAGCTGTCTGCTGTCCAGAGGCCTGCTGCAGCGCTGACGCTAGCCCCACCTGTGGCTCCGGGGTCTTCCTCCTCTCTGATGCCTCCCCAGCCTTTGCAATGGCCTCCACCAGTCCCAACCTCCTCCCAGACTGATCCAGCATGAGTGGCTCCACTTAGCATCGGGAGGGGCTACGGGGCTCCTTGTCCCATCAGTGCGGGGGCTGAACTGTGGGGAGGCTCTGGGGTTGCCCTGAAGCCTGCCCCCCGACAATTGCTAAAGACTGCTGTGTACATTTATCCTAACATCAAAGCTCTGCAACAGAAAAAAGAAAATGTAGATTCTTGACAGATGGTGAAGATGTTACATAAGTGGATGTCTCTATTAGGGCAGGATTGCTAGTGCAGCCAGTGAAATGGCTACTGTATAAAACTTGTGAAGAGGTACACAGATGGGGAAAAGTCAATTTGACTCTGGCAGCAGCAGCAGCAGCAGCAGCTGCATGCTGGAAAATAAGTGAGGAGACCTTGCCCCAAATAGATTAACAGAAAATAAATCAATGAATGTGTCAACTTGAAGGTAACATTGAATGTGAGATTCCTATATATAGGATTTGTTCCTGAGGAAAGACCAGAGCTCTGAAACACTTCATACTTCCTGTCAGTGACAGAACTGTCCCCACTGGCTTTGGGAGGGCTTTCTGATTCTTTGTAAGCACAGAGATGGAGGGTGGAAGCACAGCAGATGGAGGCAAAAGCTTGGCACCAGGATATATTCCACGCCCCTGGATGGCAGACAGTCTGCCTGCAATAAGGGTGAGAGGCAAATCCTTTGCTTGCACATGCTGGCTGTCTGGGCAGGGCAGCAGTGACTGGAGGTGGGGGTGGGGTAAGATAAGGTAGAAGAATAGACTTTGCCCTGCCCAGCAAGTGGCAGTCCATCTTTCTTGCAAACTGGGAGAATAGAAGCAGAGGCTTAAAGTTCTACCCCTATGACAGTGAAGAACAGGTACATTCAGGAGATGCAAGCGAGATCAGTGGTGATAAAGGATCAGATCACCTCTCTTTTTATGTATCAAAAGAAAAGGTAAATTAATATATTTCTTGTGTGGAGTGTGACCATAGAAAACACTTTGGGTATCTAAACGTTAGAACTACTGCATGGGCTCACAAGCTCCCTGTCACCAAACAACATGATCCACACATGCTGCATACACAACGGTGACACAATCAGAAAGGAAGGAAACCGTTTCTGTGAAGAGCAGGTAACACTTCTGTTTACTAGAAAGATTGTTTTCTACTTTCATCTTTTATGTTTTCCTAAGAAGAATGTGCTAAGGTAGCATAGGATGCAACAGTCTACAGAGCGCTCTCTCTCTCTCGGACTGAGTATATTCATAATTCTGCTTGTAGAATAATACAGTATTTTATACTTCTAAATTCCATAAATATGCCAAATAGTACATTTTTTATATGATGAGTTCTAAAAATCATGCATCTGATGCTGTTAGGTCAGTAAAATAAATTCAGGTTTGATAAAAAAGAATTGCATCTATTTCAATTCTCCCCCAAATAGAAAAACTCCGTATCTTCAACATTTCCAGAAATTTTATACCTCTGCTTTTACATAAAATTTATTTTCTCCAAATGGAAATATGTTTTCTACTAGTACCTCTTTGTCAAAGAGCAAAGACTAGAGGCCTATCCATATTTTTGATGCTAGGTATTGAAGAATCAGTTTTTCTTCTACTGTTTCTGACTCTGCCATGTTCACATTTCATGCTCTTAATCATACAGAGGGGCATCACTTTAAAGGCCAAGATATGATTTCCAACAATGTATCTTTGAACGCAACCTAAAATACTCTAAATTACTATAGCCTTAGTGCACTTAGCTTTGTTATACAGCAAAAAAGCTCTTCATAATGAGTAGGTCAGAAGGTACATCAGTTCCCAGCTGAAGCTTCAAAGTGTGCATAAATGTCAGGAAAATGTCATTTCAGAATACTTCACTGACCCCTAAGAATCCTTACCAGGCAATACCCAAAAGTTCAAAAGTTTATAAAAAAGGGAGCTTTTGTGAAATATGACAGATTCAAAACAGATTTCTATTAACTGCCTCACTGACTGACACTCATTCCATGAGCGACACCAATTTTGCAAGAGAGCACAAAGTGCTAGAAAACTAAATATCTGAACACAAGGAGGTGGGAACACTGTGAGAGAAAATATTGCAAATATTTTCAAGCTCCTCTCTCTAAAGATGTGTGAGAGTTCAGCATGCTGCTTAACGTTAAATGTGTGCTCAGCTCAGCACACAGCAGGTCTGGTGATGCTGATGAAATCTGTAATTACCTGCTTTGGAACATGAATTTTCCTAGCTCATATTTGCATTATGCAAATTTGTTTCACACTGAGGCTTTAAGAAGGGCAATTGTTTTTTGCCTCCCCATAAATTAAAAAGAGCAAGAAAACAGAAAGGAGGAAGGATGGAGCTAAAAGAGAATTGATAGAAAGCCTCTGCACAGGCCATTTGTGATCTGTCTGAAAAGCTTCCCCAAGCCCTGTTAAAGAAGCACAGAGAACACATAGCTTCTTATCTTCCTGAGGCTCTGGAGTTTGTCTACAGTTCCCTGGAAAATTAAAAAGAAAAAAAAGTCACCCTTAGGGAGTGTTTGCTTAGCTCTGGATGAGCTGCAATCAGTATCCCTAACTAGGATTAAAAATAAATAAATAAACATCATATTCTACATATGTCCAGTATTTTATTTTGTAAAGTTAAATAGCTTAGAATTCTCATTAAAAAAACAAAACTGCTATCTCAACAATGATTCTTCAAGATAGGAGAAATCCAACATCACTGAGGCGGTCCAAGTGTGAAACGACATTTCAAAATCTATTTTTATCTTATGATGCATCAAACAATACAAGGTTTGCATAAAGCTGTTGAAAGTCCTGTCAATTTAACAACGTGCTCTTCATTTTCTTTTAGCTGTAATCTAGTTATCTTACTGGTAACAGCAGTCCTATTATATAAATAAATAATGGAATCTTGCATTCTACGAACTAGTCAGAGGCTCCTCAACTGCTGCTAGAAGTTGCAGGTTGCTTCTCCCCCCCGCCCCATTACAATCTGAGTAAAATAGGTGACTCTGTTCCCTAAGGGGCTCGACTTGCTCAGTGCCAAAATGCTGGTCTTTGGGTTGAGATTAATGTCATGTTCCAAGTTTCTATCATGAGACATAAAAATATCCCACTTCATTAATAATCAGCACAATTTGGGCTATGCTTATTCATTCATTCATTCATTCACTTCATTTACACCCTGCCTTTCTTCCCAATAGGGACCCAAAGTAGCTTACATTTGCCTGTTCCATTTTATCCTCACGACAACCCTATGAGGTAGGTTGAGAGGGTGACTGGCCCAAGATCACTCAGCAAGCTTCCATGACAGAGTGCAGAACCGAACCTGCATTTTCCAGGTCTTAGTCTGACAGTGAAACACTATGCCACATTGGTTCTCTAGTGTGATGCATATTACATTTAACTGAGGGACATGGAAGCACCTTAATACTTAGGAATTACATATCTCCTACTGTTTTTGCCTCTGAAGCTATGCCAAATTTCAGCTTTCTGGCTGGCTTGGGAGCTACCTTAACAATTTGTGGGGCCATGTTAAGTCCCCAGTTTTTCACATTTCTTTCTAGCTTAAAAGGATACTATCCATTAACCAAATTTCAGGGATCCACCACAATGGGAAGTACTCAGGATACTTCGGTATCCCCTGCACAAGAAAACACACATGCACATTCCTGACTGCTACGGGAAGTGTTCTTTTCCCTCACAAATCTATAAACAGAAATCCCACAACCCTTTGTTTTCCCCACTTGTTTGTTCTGTGGTGGAATGCTACCATCTGAGCTATCATCTGAGCTGGAATGCTATCACCACATTCAGGATTCTGTGTAAGACCTCTTCTTTTCAGTCGTGTCTACTGATCCAGAATATTTTGAGCTCTATATGTACTGAAATTGCAGCTTGCTTTCTAAACGTTCTGGGAAAGCCCTTAAAACTCACCCTATTTTTATTGTAAGACATATGAATGCCCCCTTTTACATTTTTCTAATAATCAGCATTTCTTGCCTACATAGATACCAAATTGCAGCTTTTTTAGGTGATCTCTGTGTTGTGCTACGTGCCTTCAAGTTGCTTCTGACTTATGGCAATCTTGTGAAATAATGACCTCCAAAACATCCCATAACTTGCTCAGGTTTTGCAAACTGAAGGCCGTCAATCAAGTCAATCTATCTTATGTTAGGTATTCCTCTTTTCCTACTGCCTTCAATTTTTCCTAGCATTGCTGGTCTTTTCCCTGGTGAACTGGAAGCACCATAATCATTTGTTTTATTTTGTATCCCCTGTTTTGAAGGAGAGGTGAACAAACACTCTATTTCAGATTATTCTAGTAAATAAGCTGTTTTGTACTGCATGTACATCAGATGTCAGGGCTGATTGTGAAGAGGCTTAAGAATTTCAATACTCCCATGAAGGTGTCAGTGAGAATTTATTTCTTCCCCTGCTTAGAAACAGCCACCCCAACGTGAAGGTTTCAAGATGGGACCAGCAGCTCAAAGAAAAGGGAGGAAACATGAAAATCTGAGGTGAACAAGTGCTAGGATGTTAGTTTCTTTTTTAAAAACTTCACACCAAGGAGGGAAAGGAGCGGCACTGATGGAGAGAAGATCCAAGAGAGAGAAACCACACCAAACCAAGACAAGCAGAAGAGAAGGAAGAACTCAAAACTGGACATTCTGCAGGCTTCCATAAAGCTCTCTCCCAAGACACCACCACCACAAAGATCAGAGATCCTTTTCTCAGTCTAGTAAACAAGTCAATAGCTACAGTAAACACAGAGGGGGGGGGGACAGCATACAGATCCCTTTACACAGAGATAAGAGGGTGTGGCTATCTTTTCAGATAAAAGACAACAGGCGGCCAGGCTAGCTGCTACTAGGGCCGGGGCCTTCTCAGTGGCGGCCCCTACCTGGTGGAACGAGCTTCCGGAGGAGATCAGGGCCCTGCGGGACCATTCACAGTTCCGCAGGGCTTGCAAGACGGAGCTCTTCCGCCAGGCATATAACTAGGGGCCGCCGCTGTCTTAGTGCATGGCCCGTAATGTTGACATCAGCAGCTGCCTCAAGAATGAGCAATATAACATTCAAACATCTATGTGGAATAACATCGAAGCACTTTATTTGAATACATCTCATTGGTTTATCTTATCTGCAGCCAGTACTTTGTAACATTTGTAATGCATTATTTTAATTGTCGTGTTTTACTTCTGTACTTATGCTTTTATCTTGTATTGTTGTATTGTTGGAAGCCGCCCTGAGCCTGCTTTGTGGGGAGGGCGAGGTATAAATTTGATTATAAATAAATAAATAAATAAAAATAAGAAATAACAACAAAACGATTAGTTCCATCATTAAAGCAACATACATTTAAAATGTTCCACTTTCTTGTAACATGCTAAAATTTCCACCAGCAACAGTTGCTTGCTTAAGACCATGTCACAGCCAATGGCATGTACAGATGGTTTCACAGACAGAAACCCCAAGAATTCAGCCACGCAATTCTAGTCTGCACAGGCCGCAACAGCTGGTATTGACTGATAACACTTGCTACCAGTGTTCCCTCTAAGCTGAGTTAGTGTGAGCTCGCTCAGAGTTTTTTAGCCTCCAGCTCATGCATTTTTGTCTGAGCTCAGGCAGGATGGCTCCAAAGCAGACTAATTTATGCAGTAGCCAAATGGCTCGCTCACAACTTTAATGCCAGTAGCTCACAAAGTAGAATTTGTGCTCACAAGACTCCACAGCTTAGAGGGAGCATTGCTTGCCACCTATTTGGGGGGATCTGAATCACAGCAGCATTTACCAGGGTCACCACAGTCACACATGACAAACGCCTCACGTCCCCCAAGTAGCTACTGAAAGGATTTCAGATCAGATGTGTGCTGGGAGCTGCATGCTTGGAATTTAATTCCCAACAGTGGGTGGGCCTGATGCAAATCACATACATGGGGGGAAGAGCATAAGCCTCCTCCCTCCCTGCTACATTTTCTTAACTTGAGATGGCTCCGGGGAGCTACTATTTTCCCCATGGAGAAATTTACATGTAGCCTCCCCTAAAGGGGAAATAGTGTCTCCCCCCCTGGCACTTTCAGTTTGAGAAAATGGGGGGGGGGGGCTTAAGCCCTCTCTCCCCATGGGCCTGATCAAAATTGGGTCCACATGGCTCTGGGAACCCTAGCATGAAACTCTCAGAACATGTCTGGCCAAAATGTATAAATTAGCTCTAAAGCTTACTGCTATCACAGTGGAAACTGTAAACAGAGTACCTTTTAAACAGTATAGCCCCTTGCTTTCTGCTCTTAAACTTCAAACATGGCAGCTGAAACACTTTACCAAAGTTACCTCATTCTCTTAATATATTATGACCATGTTGTCTGGTTTTGTTATGTGCAGAATATGGATAATTTCTAGGTGAAGGAAAGCCAAAGTGGTGGAGAGGTCAGTGTAGTGTACTGGAATCTCTACTATGCTATGATACATTTTAATGGTTGTTTTTATGTTTTCACGTGTGTATTTCAGCACGGCTTTAATTGTTTTAATGATATGTTTGGTTTTAACGGTTTTTAAGACATATTTTTATTATGTATGTTTTTAATCTGTTAATCACCTTAGTGGCATTGATGAAGGGAGAAAGTTGGGATATAAATTTTGTAAATAAATAAATAAATAAAATGAAGGTGACCTTTGTCCAATTGTTCTCTCTCAGCCTAACCTACCGCACAGGAACGCTGGGAGTATAAAATGGAGGAAAGGAGGAGAACTATGCATGCTGCCCTAAGCTTTTGGAGGAAGGGTGTGATAAACATACAATAGACAGACAGAGGGAGACAGTATGGGACACTGCACCAGTGTGTGTTTGTATGTACATTCTCACTTCAAGGTGTGAGCAAATAGAAACTGAGGCCTGTCTTCTTTTGCTTACCTGTGCAAAGTCAGCCGCAAGCCGCATTTTCCCTCCTTCGCCCAGAGACCTTAACAGGCTGGCATTGCGAATGAAAAGTTCAATCGCTCTCTGTGCAATGGCTTCGGTGCTCTCATAGACAAAGTCATAACATTCAAAGTGTCGGAAGTAGTCATTCATAACTCGGGCTATAAAGCCCTGCAGCTCTTTCATATAAAGTGAACAAGGAACGTCAGGCTTTCCTGAAGTGGGCAGTGACCTACCAGGAGAAGCAGAGAAAAGAGTTACTTTCCTGTTTATAACCAATACAAACCAATGAGGAGTGTGTTTGTGTGTGTGTGTGTGCTGTGTTTCCTTTTATCCTGAGAAGAATGGTTGCAATGGCAGTATGCATCTGATAGAGTGTCTTATTTTAATTTTGAAATACAAGGGGTACCCTCTGAAGCTGAATCCCAAGTATCAGCGACACAGTTCTTGCTGTTCTGAGGGGTAACTCTCCACCCTCCTAAGGTTTTTAACCACTGTATAAGAAGGGAAGGCAAAGGGAGGGACATGCTCTTGAGCCTGGGAACAAATTATGTTTGTGAATATTTTTGCTTAATCACAGTTAAGTAAGCTGTCTGGATGCGGCTGCCGTTTTTTGCTATCATTTTAATTCCACATCCCAGATGATACACATGCTCTCCCCTCTAATCAGCTCCAAACCAGTTCAAGCTACGGGGTTCAGCTGCAAGCAAGTGTAAGGGTGAGACTTCAAACATTTGGCCTCTCTACCACCTCGCACGATTCAGTTGGCCAAATTATAGCTTTTAAAAAACATTACAGCAACAAGCTCTCAAACCTTTTTTTTTTTAAAAAAAGACTCTCCATTTCAGAAAGGACTGAGGTACATCATGTGTCTTCATCACAGTTCATAACACTAAAATGTTTTTCAAAGGGCAACATTTTGTGCACTGGGTTTCCTTAGAGAGAAGCAGAACTGCTTGCAATTGGGGCAGAGAAGCCCACAGCTACGTGTGAACAATTCATGGCACTGCCAAAAAAAACCACCTGCCCCCACATACCAAATGCAGCCAGAGTTCTTCTCTTTAATGTTTTGAAAAATCCAGCCCTCATTGTTGGATAGGGGAGTTCAACTTAAGGTAGCTAAGGCTTGGTTCATTCAGTGGAAAACTCCAATGCCTGGTGGTCTCTTAGCCTATTCCATCACAAACCTGAGCAAAGCCACACTCTCCTCACTTCACAGCCTCTGGGAGGGTTCAAGTTCCCTCCCCCCTCAACAGCTCTTTGTGTGTGATTCAAAAACTGGGAGAAGCATCTGGAATCCCTGATCCGTATCAACACTATCCTAATGTCTGGCATGCCAACTCACCTGGCAAATCAAGCTGGTAACAAAGCAAAACCTTCCGGCCTTGAAATACCTAATGAAGATTATGCTGCATCTTTTCCAGAAGAAAATAATCAGCATTAGACCCAGCATCCATTTCCACATTTGGTTTTATGTTGGGGGAGGGGGAGTTAGATCCTGTACAAAGGCTCCACTAGCAGGACGACCTTGCCTCCAGTGTTCCTTTCCACTGGAAGAAAGCCTCTCTGATAGCAAAATGGATTTGTGGGACTGAACCAACTTTTTTTAAAAAATCAAATTTTTGAAAAGAAGTCCAGTCGGTTGTCGCAGCTTACTGTATATTTAATCAGACTACATACCTAACTTTTAATGTCTTACAAAATAAGTTATCGGAACAACTGCCCTTTTTTGGTCCTTTGCTCTTCTCATTTTGAAAAAGTGTTGACTGGTTTTCCTTTCTAATAAAGAAATACGTGAATTGTATACAGTTGAACAGCCAGAATTACTGCTGCTTCCTAACCTACATACCAAAATACAGACTGGGCTGCTAAGGTTGGCTCTCCTAGTGTGAGGTCACTGGGGTTAATGTAATTTCTGGTTATTCCAGGGTGTACCTATCATATGCATATCTAAGACAACTACTCCAGTAGTGAATCCATTACCCAGAAAAGTCTTCCTGATGCATGGTGATGATAATAGCTTCTATCGAGTCTCCAACTGAGTTCAGTAAAGGTTGTACAGCATTTCCCATCAAATCATGGACTGTCTACAAGGAAATATATAACCAATGGCAGAAAACAACCAAGAAGGAAAAACCATATGTTTACACTCTGTGGGTACCAAGATACAATTAAATTACAAAATGTTTGATTAGTTAACTTTAAACAGTGCTGTTTTTTGACAAGGCCCATTATAGATGGAAATTAAACATATTCATTTGTGCTGCTTGGTTGGAAATCTTCCCAGCCCCCCTTATGGGGATGAAGGGGTCAAACCAAGGGCAACCAAGGTTCATTTGTAATTAAAGTAGTTATGCAGAAAAGTTCTATCCAATTTAACAATTATTTCTAGACCTAGAAACAGAAACATCACCCCATCTTTTGAGTTATTTTCTAACTACTGGTTTTCTCTCTCCCTTTTTTATTTATATTTTTGTTTTCATCTTCACATGGAGGGAAAACTAGGTTATTATGGCGAGCATACTGCTGTTCCTTTCTATCTGTTATTAATCTATAAATGTATATGCTGCTCTGTTGTAGTGGTCAACAGAGCTCACAAAGATAAAAACTACAAACCAAATATCACAAGATCATAATGATGACCCTGCAATAATTTCTATTTTCAGAGTGGATAAAACACAGAAACTCAGTCCTTCAGACACATGAATTTGAGTAGGTCCTCTGAAACAGAACAGCCTTGCATAGTTTCTGGAATAATAGGAGGAGGGCATTTTATGGAATCCATTCTAGCAGGCTGTTTGAGTGGTGGCGCTGGCACATGCTCTAGTGGAGGAGGGCTGAATCTGCCAGATGAAGACACTGAAAAGTGCAGCAGCTCCAAGGACCTCAACGTGAGTAGGGGGTTCAGAAAGGGAGAGCTCATCCATCAGTTATGTTGATCCCTGGCTTGGCTATGGAGCACCATAAACCAAGCCCGGGCAGAAAACCATTTCAGAATGGGCATCAGATGTGCCCTTCAGCCATCAGTAGGCATTTGGCCACATTTTGATCCAGTTGTGGTTTCCGAGATACCAATGAAAAGGCATTGCTGGGATGTTTGTGTGGACATAATACCACCAAGAATGGGGTGACAAGGGGATGACCTCATAGACTAAAAGTCCACCAGGCATGGGGGGGACTGCAGTAAATCCAGAAAAAATGCTTCCGCTTCACTTTTCCACTTCCACTTGACAGAAGGAACAAAGAAGCAAAGTGGAGCAAAGTGTACATTGGTGCAACAACAGTTTTGCCCCTCTGTGCTGTAACCTCCCATGCCTTGGTAGATTTTTGTCTGCAGGGATCCTATGACCATTGGCAATACCTCTTTTTTGGGGGGTATATTTGTGTGTCTCAAAACGCTATAGGAAGAAAAAGGTGAGGGAAAATCCAACACCACAAGGGCCTTCTCCTCACATGTATTTTTTCCCTTCTGTGTAGCATGCACTGCTCTGTAAATTTAACACACATGTAATCAAACATAAAAAAATATTTAAAAATCTATTCAACCCCTGCCATGTACAACTAAAGTAAAATACTAAGGGCATGATCCAACTGGTGGGAAACGTTTCAGGCTCCTCAGATGTCAATTTTAAGGACATGATGAACTCTTCCAGTGAAACCAAAGGTATTTTCGAAGTGCTTAAAGGGACTTAGGTGTAAAATACTTATTTGTGTGGAGGCAACATGCAACATTCCCTTGGGGCATAACAGGTATTTTAGGACCACAGTTCACTACTGCTCTGTATATTTCCAGATGTTTTAAAAGTATCTTTGGAAACCAACAGCCTCTGCAGACCAATATGTTCTAACCAGTATGCTCCTATGATTAATAACATGCTATTGAAGATCAAGGCCTTCAGGTGTCTTGTGGCAGGCCAAGAAGAGAAACAGAATATGGAAAGATCTTCAAAACAGCAGGTGACCCATATGGTTGCATTATTTGCCATTTCTTTTACAGAATACAGTATTGGACAAACCTGTGAAGAAAGAGACTGGAGAAGAGCTGTCGTCAGGTAAAAACACAAAGCACAATGTAAAGCAAGAAAGACGGGTTGGAAGGAGGGTGAAGAGACAGTAAGAAATGGCCTGTCATCAGCAAATGGCACAAGAACCTCCCCTAAATTTTTAGCCCCTGATTATCCTCATATAATATATATGCAAATTATCACCAGAACTTTACACAAAATGAAAACAAATATTACTTGGGAGGGAATATGGTCTATTTTTCATTACGGGGAAAACACAAGAAGTATCAACATCTGCCTTTGTGTCTTGCTAATATTTACCTACCTTCAAGGCTGCACTAATAGTTTGCTCAGAAGCTGCTGGAAATGCACTTTGGTTGGAGACCACCTGAAAAACATGCAGAACAACTCACATTAAGGCCCCAGGGAAGCCAACACTCACCTACCTGTACATTTACATGGTGTCAGCAATGGTCCTCTCTGTACTTAGGCTCTAAGGTGGTAGATGCAAAATGTCTGTGTGAGGACTCAACCCTAATTAGGGTTGCCAACTACAGACTGATATTCCTAGAGATTTGGGTGTGGAGCCCGGGGACGGTGAGGTTTTGGGGAGAGGAAGGACCTGAGCAGGGTATAATACCATACAGTCCATCCTCCAAAGCAGCCATTTCTTCCGGGTGGTTGACTGCTGTAGCCTTGAGACTGAGTTGTAATACTGCGAGATCTCCAGCCCCCCCCCTCCCCCCCCCCCCCCCCCAGCAGTTGGCGATCTTGGCCCCAAGACTATGTCAGACTCTACAGGAGACGAGGTGTGGACGCGAATTAAATGCACGGCTCTTCCTGCCTCTCCTGTTGAAAGCACACTGGAAACCTTTTCATCCCCCCCCCCCCCAATCTAATGCATAACTATTATTTTGACAACTGTGATATAAATCATGACATGCCACAATGGCAGATTTTTTAAAAAGTTGCTTTAGCAGTAGCTACTACCACAACATCAGGATTTTCACTGTGTTACTAAAGGTAAGCGACATATATGCAAAGAAATATTTATAAATAACGTATTCATTTTAGAAGGCACCTATCTCTCTCTCTCTCTCTCTCTCGCTTGGTGGGGGTGCTCCTCCATGTGTAAACAGCACATTTTATGCTGTTTGCACTGGGAGGAGGTAGCACCAAGCCCAAGTGCAAAGCAGCAGCCTCTGTTCCTTCATGCTTGAAGGGGGATGCTCCTAGTCCCAGTGAGGTTCCCAGCCCCTGCAGCTGGGCCCACAGCAGATTCCCCCTCCCCTTCAATGTTGCTTCTCTGCCTGGGCCTGGGGAGGTTTGCTGCCCCTGTTGCTGGGCATGCTGTGGCTTTCTCCCTCCCCCCATTGATGCTGCTGCTGTCCCTGGGCCTGGCGAGGTTGAAGGCCCTGTTCCTCGGCCCGCTGTGGCTTTCTCCTCCACTCTACTGATGCTGCTGCTGCCACCCCTGGACCCAGCGAGGCTCCCAGCCTCTGTGGCAGGGCCCACTGTGGCTCCCCCACCCATTCCTTCCACTGCTGCTGAATGGGAGGTTAGTTTTTACAATGACTGCAAATGCACAGGCAGCAATTTTCTTTGGAGGGGATTTACACCCCCAAATATACTCCCCCCCCCTCCACAGACATTCACTTCCACATAATCCTGGGCTCAGAGCACTTTTTTAAAAATATAAAAAAAGGTACTGGTGCAACATTTTGCAACATACAACTTCCCTGTGCACCTTCACAATTATTCCAGACTTACTCGGCATTCACATAAATGTGCATGCCAGCAATTAACCCCACCCCCATTTTTGTAATGGTTTGTTTTTGTTACAGCCAATTTAACCCAAGGATTATGAAATGTAGCATACCAAACACATGAGGAAACAAGTGATTTACAGTCCATGATGTATGCATACAATTTGCTTGCTAATCCCTAACGATGCAGCTATTATGAGAGAAAAGATTACTTTTGCCTCTCTTGAACAGTTTGGATATGTCTTCTATTCTGAGGAAGGTGGCCACGATCTGAAAATAGCACACTGGGACTGCTTGAAGGGACCTCGGGTACTTCTGAAACAGGCAACTTACCCATATAGAGTTGGGATCCTACTGATCCTTTCTACTAGCAGAGGCAGTTTCCTCAGGGAGATGGACCTTCCCCAACACAAGGCCCAGAAGTGAACTTGCATTGGGGAATCATATCATAGAATTCATAATATCACAGAGTTGGAAGGGGCCATACAGGCCATGTAGTCCAACCCCATGCTTAATGCAGGATCAGCTTGGAGCATCCCTGAGAAGTGTTTGTCCAGCCACTGCTTAAAGACTGCCAGTGAGGGGGAGCTCACCACCTCCCTAGGCAGCTGAGTCCACTGTTGTATAACTCTTACTGTAAAAAAGTTTTCCCTAATATTCAGCCCTTAATTTAAACCCATTCTTGTGAGTCCTATCCTCTGCTGCCAACACGAACAGCTCCCTGCCCTCCTCTAAGTGACAGCCCTTCAGATACTTCAAGAGAGCAATCCTGTCCCCCCTGAACCTCCTCTTCTCCAGACTAAATATTCTCAAGTCCCCCAGCCTTTCCTCATAGGGCTTGGTCTCCAGGCCCCTGATCATCCTCATCACTCTCCTCTGCATTCCCTCAATCCAGTAAGCTCATCACTCAATCAAAGAAGGAAATGAGGTTGGTCTGGCAGGACCTGTTGGGGACAAATCCGTGCTGACTTCCCCGGATCACCAAGTTGTCCTTTAGATGCTTGCAGATTGATCCCTTTAAAATTTGCTCCAGTATCTTCCCTGGGACAGAAGTCAGATTGACTGGCCTGTAGTTTCCTGAGTCATCCCTCCTCCCTTTTTTGAAAATCAGGTACTTCTGAAACAGGAAAGTGCCTCTGCTAGTGGAACAGGTCTGCGGGATCCAGCATGGAGAGCACAAGTTGCCTTTCTGTGGGTGTGCTGTTTAGACAAGGGGAAAGTCAAAAAAACCCACCAAGTCTTTCAGCACAATTAAATTATGCTCCTTGGAGTGTATTATGACTCAGCTGAAGAGCTTAGCAGACCTTTGTAATTATTACAGCAAATATATAACCATCTGTAGCTTGGTCCAAGTTTGTGGCAGCCGTCAACATTATCAGAGAAAACTAAAAAGCACATCACAGGAATAAATGCACCAATTAGCAAATACAAGAAGACAACAACAAATCCAAGTCTATTAGGTAGAAGAAGTACAACAATGTCACTCATACAGATGTATAACAATTTATTTATTTATTCATTCATTCAATTTATATCCCGCCCTTCCCACAAATAGGCTCAGGGCGGTTCACAACAATAAATACAAACAATCTAAGTTAATACAATAAAATAATACAATAAAACCAGTTTAAAATTTAAAGAATTTAAGGCGGGCAGTGCAATGCAATGAATTCCAGTTACCAAAGGCGGGGGGGGGGGGAATAACTGGGCTGATGCCGAGCCATGATGGTCTCATGTAGCAGCAGCAGGGAGGCCAGCTGGTAGATGCCCACTGCCTCAACCAAAGGCCTAGCGGAACAGGTCCATTTTACAGGCCCTGCGAAACTGCAACAGGTCTTGCAGGGCCCTGATCTCAATCGGGAGCATGTTCCACCAGGCTGGGGCCAAGACCAAAAAGGCCCCGGCCCCGGTTGAAGCTAGACAGGCATCTTTCGGGCCAGGGACAATCAGCAGATGGCTCTCCATAGAGTGCAAGGCTCTCTGGGGCACATATAGGGAGAGGTGGTCCCATAGATATGTCAGTCCCAATGGAGTTCTATGTCAGTCTTTACAGAAACCATTTTAGAAGTGTTCACATGCATCTTCTCCTATTTGATTCAGAACGGTTAAAGAAACATTAAGCCCAAAACTTCACAAAAAAAGTACTTCCACATCCCTGGCACTTACTTTTAGTATGGACTGGTGTAGCCTGTACAGTGAATTCACTACAGCAACATTTCGTCTTTGCCCTTCGGTTAATGGTCCAATCACCTGGCTGGCATCTCCTTGCGTAGAGAGCTGCAGAAAGGATATAAGGAGTGCAATTTATTTTTAAGGACATTAATCCAAACACATAACATTCTGCCTCTTAACATGGAATAAAAGGCAAAATAGAATTCATTGTTATCTTAAGACTGATTGGTAATTTTTACTACCACCTCCCCCTGAGGAATATAACATCTTGTGTTTTAACATAAAAAACATAAATAACAGCCATGCTGGATCAAAACAATGGTCCATCCAGTCCAGCATCCTGTTTCTAACACCAGATGCCATAGGGAAGCCCACAAGGGACCTCAGACAAAAGCTCTCACCTGCTTCCCCAGGATTTGACAACCAGAGGCATTTCTGCCTTTAAACCTGGAGGTCCCATTCCACCATCATGACGTATATTGACAGCCATAGCATACCTTCCAACCCCCTTTTAAATTCATCTAAGCAAAGGGCCATCACCACACCTTGTGACAGTGAGTTCCATAAGTCAACTACTTGGTGCATGAAGTAATGTTGCCTTTTGCTTGTCTCAAATCTATCGCCAACTATTTTTTGTATGGTGACCCCTTAGTTTTAGTATTTGGGGGAGGGAGAAAAGTCTCATCTGCTTTCTCTACACCACACAGAATGGTGTAGACATTTATCTTGTCATCCCCCCGGTGCCTTTCTTCTAAACTGAAAACCCCCAAATTATTTATTTACACAAGGAATACTATGCAGAGGCAGACAATGGCAAACTACCTCTGAACATTTCCTACTTGAAAACCTTATGGGTCACCATAAGAAACCCGTGATTTAGGGAAAAAGTTTTATTTCCAATCCCTTTCCTAATGGAATTAAAAAACAAACAAACTCTTGAGGGCTAATTCTTGTGTCATATTTTCTTACAATGCCTGAGAACCATGCCTATGTCTCTGAGCATCAAACCACTATTTGATAATTAACAATAAGCGAAGGGCTCTCCATCATACACAAGAATTGAAGGGCATAATGCTTTGGACAAGCATCCTCTCTGTGGGACACTGCTGGTAGGGTGAAAAACAGGAGCTACCATACTGGGAGCACGTATGTGAAGCCTCTCCCTTCAGCACTGTATTTCCATGAATACTCAGTGCTAGGAATGTCTCATGGAGCTCATCCAGTCAACTAGAAAATGTAACCCAAGAAGCAATTCTTCAGCCGTAGACATACAATTCATAAATGGACTAAATCACTGCAAGCCTCCCAATGGCAATTACTGGCAAAAAATTCAGGAACTTTTTTTTTAGTAAACAAACAAACAACCTTTGACATAAAGGCATGGTGATATATTAGTTGAATAAATTTATGTTATACACTATAGTGAGGAAAACTCTTTCTCTCAATGCCTCAGAAACTGTCTGGCCCCCAAGGTAGCTGTGAGAGCCTGCTGATGGTAATCTGTTCCATCAAGTGAGGATGTAAACAAAAGATTTTGACAGAAATATTCTCAGTATTTAGACACATCAACCATGTTGATTCATTCAATTCCTTACGCTTTTCCAAAAGTACAGCACACTATGCTGTAGCTGGTACTAGTATAGTAAGAGACAAAAGCCTCAGGATCTTGTAGAAGAACCCCCCACTCAGCCACAAATGAGTTCTGGCATGTCTCAGTAGCATTATTCTCTCATAGATCACTACCTAGTCCAATTTCTTCTATGCCAGCTTTTTTTGTACCCACCTTATTTGCTTGGTTTACTAACCATTCAGTATTTTTTAACTATCACATATAATGCACCCAAAAAGAGAGCTATTCCCTGGGAAAGTAATTCCGTATCCAGGAGTCCATTAGAAGTATCTTAATCTTTTACCTATCAGTCTCCATCTCAGAGACAGAGTTCAAGATGAATGTATGTGTGAATGTAATTACTTGGCAATGGCAACTCTTTATAGAAATAATATTAGAAATACAGTTATGCACGGTGTTATGGTAGGAAGGGTGAACTGGTGAATTTCCTTGCTGGGAAAACCCCTAGACAAAGTGTTCACTAGAAAATACACTGGTCACCTGCCACCACTACTCAGGAACTCCTGAGAAAATCTAGACTGTCCCACTGAAAACATAATCTTCCAGTGCAGTACTAGAGCAATACCACAGTGATAGGGTAGAAACCCGAGAAAATACCTTGTATTGAATAGTACTCTTGCAGTCTAGCACATGGGGAAGAGATTCAGAGAAATATCCCAGAGAAATAAATTGTACTAAGCAAAGCCAAAAAATGAAACATTGGAGCTTACCTGAAGGTTTCTTCTCTTCAGTGGGGCAAAGTCATCCAAAGAGGTGAGGTCACGCCTCTGCTCGCTCCCTATTGGAGAGATCTCAGGCTGACGCTCCAGTCATGACCAAGCCTTGCTGTGTGAGTTTTTAAAGTGTCATCTCTCATATCCATCTCGTCTCTTCCTTTAACCTTCTTACTTTACATATACATACATATATGATCATTTTCATTGGGGGGGTAGGTGGGAAGTGGATGAATTTGCCCCACTGACAAGAAGAAACCTTCAGGTAAGCTCCAGTGTTTCAATCTCCTTCAGTGGGGGAAGTCATCCAAACTGGTTAGCTTTACCTAAGCTGTACTTCTGGGTGTACGCTTTCCCCTTATTTATGGGTCCACCGCTTGCTGCAGAAGCCTTCTGCTGATGTCGCTTGGTCTGTTCTATAGTATTTGAGAATGAAGCCCATGGGGCAGCCCTGCATATCTTCTCCACGGTAGCTCTAGTAGAGAAGACTTCTATGGCTGCTGCTGCCCTGTGAGTGTGCAACGACCTCTTTGGTCGGTGTCAAACCTTGAGCTTCGTATAGCCTGAAGATGCACTGTTTAACACATGAGGCAATGGTGGATTTTTTTACTCTTTTCCCCAGGTTTAGTGGACTGTGTGAGACAAACAGGGCATCTGACAGTCTGAAAGCAGCTGTCCTATCCAAGCAGGTGCACAGAGCCCTGCGCACATCTAGCTTGTGCCAGACTTTTTCTTATGGGTGCTTCAGATTTGGGCAGAAGGATGGTAGTGTAAGTGGCTTGTTTGAGTGAAATGCTGAACTAACCTTGGAAACAAAGGAGGGGGTGTGTTCATAGGGTCACCTAAGGAAAGGAAAATCCATAATTCCTTTCAATGGATAATGCTGCGAGTCCTGAAACCCCCTTTCACAGATGTCACCGCTACCAAGAAGGCCACCTTCCATGACAGGAACCTGAGCTCTGTTAATTTTAGCGGTTCAAAGGGTGGTTCTGTGGTTGTCCACAGGTCCACTGGAAGTCTCCACATGGGGAACCTATGCCAGACAGGAGGTGCTAGCTGTCTGGCTCCCATGATAAATAGTTTTACATGCTTGTTTGTGGATAGGTCTTTTAGCCTCCCTTGTCCCAGGCAGGAGTTAAGAGCTGCTTTGTTGTTGTTCAGTCACACAGTCGAGTCTGATTCTTCACGACCCCATGGACCACATCACGCCAGCTGCTACCTGCCTCTTTAATGTGTTTGGCTTGAGGCCTTGTTTCCATCCTTTTTATAGAAAGAACGTGTTGTCCCCATATGATGTGTGTAGGGGATCCAACTTCTCATCAGTGGCCCACTTCCTGAATATTCACCATGTGTGGTTGTAAATCTGCCTCATAAACAGCCTTCTTGATTGTAACATAATGTCCACTACTTCCCTGTGGAAGCCCTGAGCCTCTAAATCTGCCCTTTCAGTTTCCAAGCTGTCAACTGGAGCAAGGCTGGGTCTGGATGTTGGATGGGGCCCAGGTGAATGAGGTCTGTTCTTGCAGGTAGGCTTCATGGTGGAATGACTGACATCTGTACTAGGTCCGAGAACCACGGTCTTCTTGGCCAGAATGGGGCCATGACTATCACTTCCACCTCTTCCCTTCTGATCCTGTTGAGTATTCTGCTGATGAGGGGTTGAGGGGGGGGAATGCATATAATAGGCCCCCATTCCACAGATGGGACAGTGTGTCCTTGCCCTCTGCTCTGGGATCGTGAAATCTCGATAGGAATCTCCCCACTTGGTGGCTGTTGGGAAAGACTTGAAGATGCATCAACAGTGTCCCAAATCTGTGTGTAATCCGGAGGAACACTTCCCAATTTAGGGTCCATTCTCCTGGATCCAGGTCCTTCCTGCTCAGCTCACTTCCAAGTTGGCTTGGCCTTTGAGGTGTTCCACGTTTAGGCTTGTCAGGTTTTTCTCCATCCAGTGTAGGATCTGCTTGGTTTCCAGGAACAAAGGTTTTGACCTGGTGCCTCTGGTGATGAATGTGGGCCTTGGTTGACATGTTGTTGGTGCGAATGAGCATGTGCTGGCCCTGCAACTGTTGTTGGAAGGCTGCTAGAGCTAACCTGACTGCACAAATCTCAAGCCAGTTGATGTTCTGTGTAACCTCTGATAGAACCCATCTTCCTTGGGTTATCATGTCCATGCAATGAGCTCCCCAGCCTCTCTTGCTCGTGGCCATTGTGATGATGATTTGGTGTGACTGGGTAAAGCTGGCTCCTTTTGCCAGGTTCTTGCATACCGTCCACCATCTTAGTTCCTTCTTCAGGCTGTCTGTTATCCTGAACTGCTTGTGCTTGATATATCCCTTTGAAATGGGAGCAGGGTCCACTGCAGTGCCCTGGAATGGAACCGTACCCAGGGAACCAGTTGCCAGCTGCATGAGGTCTAAGTAACTGTGGCTCCTGAAATTGATAATCAGGTCCCTTATCTCCTGTTGCTTCTCATTGGGAGAAAAACTTTGGCTGGGCACATGCAGATTCTGAATCTCAACAATACCGTAGAGGATGATTTGATAAACTCTTACTCAAATTTACCAACAGAGGACCAAGCTGTGATTGTTAATAGACTTGAGACATTGAGGACTAACCTCCTGTCGCTGGGGAACCAAAGTCGTAACTTCCAAGGAAATAAGGAGAGGCTCCAATTTTTTACTGCTCCTAATACTCCTAATACTCCTGTTAATAGCGATTCTGCTTCCCCAGATCTTGTGATGGATTTTAATGAAGACATG